AGCTTTTTGAGGCTTCACTTCACCTTAAAACCTAGCCAATGAATGTTTCCCATTAAAACATTGATGTTGCATTGGTCTTTTCCAAAGGGTCTCTTCACAAATATTAAGAACATTCACAATAATTAGGTTATTCATTATTTTTGAATAATTACTTATTAGCTAGTAAATTTAAAGGCAGTTTTTCAGTTCGTCAGAGATAACAAAATAAGCCCACTGTAGATATAAGGCGTGTGCAGCATTTTATGGCGTATCGAAAGAAATATTAAATTTGGATGTGTTTCAGGGTTTCGATTTCCTTTCGGAGCACATCTCTTTGCCAGCGGTCCTGCTCCACGTGGCCAGTGCGTGCAACTAGTGTGCGCCGCTAGGCATGCTTCGCGTGACGGAGGTGAACCCAAGAATCAAAGCTTATTTTTCCAATGTCATTTGAACAGCACAGCTTATCATTTTACTGGTTCGCATCACACTTCCTCTCCAACAAGGGAGGTGAGGCAACAGTCGCTTGCTTTCACCGCGGCAAGCGGGATCGCTGGTGCAGTCATGCGTCCTGGTAGGAAACTGGAACTTCAGTATGCATCCAAATTAAGTGTTTGTTCAGATGCCCTGAAATGATGAAAAGCATGAATTTCGTTCTTCTGTTCTCTTAGTTCACCTGTGGTGTACTGGCGTGAACGGCCACATTTCGCTACTGCCGAGGTTGCGGCCAACGGCTGAGCGCACGCTTTCGTGAAGTGGCCACGTCGCACTGAGCTGGGCCGTGCAATTTCTCCGGAGTCTGCCCGGACGGACTCTGCTGGCTTTGCGGCCAGCCGCTTCCTCTTACTGACAGCCGGGCTGCTGTGCCGCCATGGAGAGGGCTTTTTTGTGGGGTGGCGTTCCTTGAAACTACTCCGCGCGGCAGCCAATAAGAGCCTCGTTCTGTGACACTGACGCGCAGCCAATGGGAGCTTATCCACCAAATTGCTGCTACAGATGACAGGCTTCACTCCATTGGGACAGGGGAGTTTAGGTGCTGTTTGGCGCGGCTTCGGAAGCTGATAACGCCTGTTTGCTCCATGGGACCAGTTAATGCTTTCGCATTAAAAAACGGGTTCTGCCTTCCTCATTCTTGCGGGCCCGTTTTGTGGCTTGGTTCGGACTGCCGTTTATTGTTTTTTCACCAGATTTGTGGCAAGAAACCACCTTCCCAACTTTTCAATCCTTTGGTATTATACAATAGTTAATTGATTGCATATACTTTTGTCAGATTATTTATTGAATAGTACATGTTACAGTAAAAAAGACAACTTGGTGTTAGCTTTATTAACTCTAGCAGGGGAAATCGGTGGCTGAGTGCGCTAGCGCACACCAGCTTGGAGCACGTGGAGCGAAAGCTCGTGCTGCAGGGCAGGGGTGGGGATTGATCCTGGATTCAATCCCCATCCCTGCCCGTTTCGATCTGGATGAGCATTGTACTGGCATGCGGTCGTGTATCACTACTGCGTGGTGTACGTTAGACCTCTGGCTAGTGGTCGTACTGCACTGGCTAAATTTCTCATCTACAGCTTGGAGACAAGTCGCCCGTGGAAGCAGACTAAGTTCTAGGCTGTATAAACATACACACAACACAATTTTTTTTTAACTTTAACACAAGGTGAAAGTTTCATATTATTAATGATAATAGCCACACGGCTCCCATAAACTATTCACTGTTCAGAAGCAAAAAATCCAAGAACGTTAGAAAGTTCTGGTACTTGGTTGCTCGGTATTCTTTGGGCTCTAAAGGACAGTTATTTTGTTATTTATAGTTACTGTCGTTGCATGTGCACCAATAAACAGAGTGTACAAAAAATATGGCCCCCTTGCAACAGATGGTTGCAAATTAAATTGCTGGATCACAGCTCAGGTGAAAAGAGGAAACAGCTGGTGGCAATGCGTCAACAAACATACCCATAGCTATTATCTAGAAAGCTGGAGTATAAAACATATATTTCGTATCTAAAGGCTGCACAACAAATGACACATGACGGAAAGAGCAGCTGTTACAAAAACAATTCTTGTTTACTTAACAGCTGTTTAAGGTCTAAATATCCCAAAATATCTGGTTTTACCTAAAAACAAAGGACCCTATTTATAGTATGCAGTTGATCAGAGTTGGTCTGGAAATGAACAAACAGGGTCTCTGTCAATAATCTAGGTATTTGTTATCATGAGTTGATATATTCACACGATCAGTTTTTCAGAATATTTTCCAAGTCACGAAATTCGCGAAAATGAGCTCCTTGTGAAAATAAGGTCGTTTATAGTATGCAGTTGATTAGAGTTGGTCTAGAAATGAAAAAACAGAATCCCAGTCAACAATCTAGTTTGTTTCAGTTGGTGACTGCATGAAAAGATGTATTTAAAGGAGTGTACCGGGGGGTGGTATTCAATAATAATTTTTTTGTCTTTGTTCTTTTTGCACAATGTCCACGTGGCCAGTGCGTGCAACTAGTCCACATGGCCAGTGCACGTGGCCAGTCCACGTGGCCAGTGCGTGCAACTAGTGTGCACCGCTAGGCATGCTTCATGTGACGGAGGTAAACCCAATAGTCAAAGCTTATTTTTGCAATGTCATTTGAACAGCACAGGTTATCATTTTGCTGGTTTGCATCACACTTCCTCCCCTGCGAGGGAGGTGAAGCAATAGTTGCTTGCTTTGACCACGGCGAGCGGGATCGCTGGTGCGGTCATGCGTCCTGGGGTAGGAAACTGGAACTTCAGTATGCATCCAAATTAAGTGTTTGTTCAGAATGCCCTGAAATGATGTGTGTGCTTTCTATGTTTATTAAGTGGGGGGATTAAGTAGTTTTACATGCTATCCAGAAAGTTTCTATTTGAGGCCATACCTTTCACTTTACTCATTAAAAAGTTAATTGGTCGAAAGTGCTTAACTCTTTCCTGACCACGGGAAAAGTAGCAATTTTGAAAGGATCCGTGCAAATGCTTTTATTTTTCCAATTTAAGTATGAATTGCAATATGCCACATCAAAATGTAGCCAATTGGTTCTTTAACTGGCGTTCATATAATGTGAGGAAAAAATTTTAAAATTTTTATTGTTTGAAAACACAATGTATGCGCAGAAGGCGTATAAATGCCAACACTTCTGCAGCTATTCAAATTAAACGACAAATAAAAGAAAATTCAGATTGTGAATTCTGAAAGTTAGTGTGCTCTAGCTGACGTTGCCTATTTTTGGTTCGTTTGAGGAGTTAGCCTCCGTAACACGTGTGCTTTTCAATCAAGGAATGCTTATATTGGTGGAACACAGATAGTACACCTCACATTCCCAGCAGAATGCTTGTGTTCTACCTTGGTTTTGTCTTAGCCTTGATTGCAGCTCTTTTATATTTAGCATTTTTGTCCGACTTGTTGGGAACATAAAACGTACACGCCGGCTCAGGAGAGCATTGATCAGATCAGATCAGATCTATTTTCCTCAAAGGTGTGGAAATTATTTTAAATTATTGTAATTATAAATTAGAAATTATAGTGATGCTTAACCGACAACCATCTGTTAAGCAGTGCATATAATATCATGTAAAGTGTCCCCAGTGCTGTTGAGGTCTAAAATATATGTCACAATACAGTTGAATTATGTAAATAATGCCCTCTTTGTTACAAAGACTAGTGCACGACGTTAGCTACGTTAGACAAGTGCAAGCACTGTTCCCAAGATTATATTTGGCAGCCCACCAGCTTGGAATAAAGCTCAAACCTACTTTGAAATTGAAGCTACAGTTCTTCGGCTATCCATGGGATTGTGGAAAATAATTTTCTGCACTAAATTTAATTTCTTGGCGGTGCTTGAAAATCATTGATCACCAGTGATCGATGACCTACGGGTGCGGTCAGGAAAGAGTTAATAACCCAATTATACCAAACATCATGAATTCTCCTGAATAGGCCCATTGGCACAGACCAATACGACATCAACTTCTTTTCGTGTCAAGCATACTTTTCATGGCTATGATTTGATTGAAGTGAGGCGCCAAAACAACGAGGACACAAGGAGAGAAGCAAGCATGACGAGGCGCACTTTCAACTGAACTTTATTTTGAAAGTGCGCCTCGTCCTGTCTGCTTCTCTCCTTGTGTCCTCGTTGTTTTGGCGCCTCACTTCAAGCATGTACAACCAACTAGCCCAACTCGCCGTTCTATGATTTGACTTGAATTTCATGAAACACCCTGTGTATGGGAGTCATGCTCTTTGCTGACCGAGAAATAAAAATATTAAGCAAGGTGGAGCGTGCAAAACTGGCTTGTGTGTCTAAGCCTTGCTTTTTGTCGCAACTGAAGGACAAAATTCTTTGGTGCAATTTCAGTCTACCTCTCGCATCGAAAAGCTGCCCTCCTTCACTGGCCCTGATTATTTCTCTGCAGCCCCCATGTTTTGACTTAGGACTGCCAGTATAAAAGAAAAATCTGACAGCTCCCAGTGCAGCAAGCAAATGTGACTTTTCTGTAATATAGTCCAAATTCATTGTGAAAGCTCATAAATATTGCCCCTTTTGGTGCACGAATATGCAAGCTAAGACTACACAGGAAGCCTGTTTTTACCAGTATACAACTGTGAATTCCTCCCGATTGCATTCTAGTTTATTTTGGCAATCGCACCCATTCACATTTTTTTTTTTAGTAGAGACAAGCTCAAAAAGTCATTGTTTCAGTGTGCCTAATTGCAAACGCATGATGGGGAAACAGCAGCTTGTTTATAAAATGTTAGAAAACAATATATTTGCACTACAATATTTACTGTACAATGTATGCTCGATAAAAGGGATGTTTGGTTATTTTTCTGGTCCTGTACAGCCGTGTAACAGTGCTTGGTGAGTAGCTTTATAGTACATTTGGTGTTTTGCTGATCATATTTCAGTTGTTTTTTTAACAGAGAGCACAGTGATCAGATTACTATTAGCCTTGGGCAGTCGTTTGTAAGTGCATGAATTCTAGCACTGCGTCTTATTTTTGGTGACTTATAGGTGTCTACTGCATGCCGGCAGAAGGCGTGCCATTGACGCCAAATGAGAAGCTGCTTTCTTCTGACGAAATTGTCCATTTGGCAACTCTCTTTGCCACCTTTGGTGTGAACAAAGTACGCCTCACCGGAGGAGAGCCGTTGGTCCGGAAAGATACACTGGACATTGTTGGTGAGCCGTAGTTTTGATAATTTTGGCTCCACTACAGGGCCGATTGAAGCTTTTTGTCCCCAAGTTGAAAATGCCTGCTTTACTGGAGTTGGCGACAAATTTTCACAGCAAGAGCACATACGGCCTTGATGTATACGCATAGGGGTCAACACGTGGAAAAGTTTTTATTTTTTATATTAGTGTCACTTCATGTGCGACATCCTGTTTGGGCATCCTGTTTGATGACAGACATCCTTTTTAAATACTAGAGTGTATCAAATAAAATAAAAAAAGACAAGAAAATCCTACATATTGTCTAAAAAAAAGGATAAAAAGAAAAGTGGATTAGGTGCGTCAGCTGCGCTCGTGAAATCATTTTGTGGAAGAAAATGGTGTTGATAAGCTCTATAGGTCGATGCCGATTTTAATTTATTTGCAATTTTTTTATATGTTGCTATCTGGTGATGGCTTTTATTAATGATGGTTAATGTAAATGGACGCTGCTGAAAATTTAAAACTTTTGTTTGAAAATATGACTCTTGATTGTGAGAAGGACTAGGCAGGCTGGGGTATTTTTCCAGCAATCTTTAGAAAAAGCTGATTTTTTTTTTTTCTTTAGAAAAATCTGAGCTTTTTATTACTCTGTGAGAGGCAAAGACACAAGGTGCATGGTGTTGAAGAGGTTTTATTTGTACATGCACCAAGCATTCGTCCAATGCTAAAGTATGAGAAACAAGGTAGATTGTTGGCTGGATGCTGATACGGCTATGGATAAAGCTTACGAATGCTGTTCGGATACACTTACAAAACTGCAGCTGCGGGATGGATGCGGATGGCGACATCACTATAAAGCATATGCGCGGGTCTCTCCAAATGACAATGATGATTCTTCAGTCGTCAACTGATTTATGCTTAAAAAATACTGACCTTATCTGTTACAGCTGTTTTGGATGTTTTTTTTATTTCTCTTCTAAACTCAACTGTAATATGAATTAGCATTTTATTTTTTCATAAATTGGATTATGGTAATGTATTACATACCCGAGCGCATTTTTTTCCAGCTTGTACGGAAAGTTCATTCAGCTGTCGTTAGTGAAACGACGCCAGTATTTCAGTCTAGCACACGACTGCAAGATTTTAGCAAGCCCTCAACATCTATTAGATCACTGCATGAGCAGTGGGTTTTTCCCTCCTCTCAAAAGAAAGCCAGTCATTACGCGGTCATTGAACCTACCCTTGAACAGCACCGCATCCCTCTCCCCAGCTGTTTCTTGATGGTACAATCCTAGGTAACCTTTCTAGCTTGATGGGAGACACAGCCAGTTAGTTAGCTGTTATTAATGCGATGCAAGCAAAAGAAAGGAAACAGATCCTACAATTTGGCTGTGTGAAACAAATACTGTTGACTGCATTACAGGATGTACTTTCACCTTCCTTTTTTTTTTTTTTTTCTTGCTATTTCAGAAAGGCTGTCACAAATTCCACAGCTGGAAACTTTGGGAATGACAACCAACGGGCTCGTTTTGTCCCGGAAACTGGCTGATTTGAAAAAGGCTGGTAAAGTGTGATTTTAAGCTTTTGCTCCTATAATCCCGCCACACAGGCATTTCACATGGAATTTAGGCAAATGCCATTTGGACAAGTGGCTAATCAGATCGCTATCCTTACTCAGCATGTTCCACTCAGCGTACACTCATTCGCCGATTCTTTCACTGCCTTCGGTCTAAATGCAATTTGAGATGGTGGTGTGGCAAGGTTTACACAGCGTAAAAGTACCCATATATGATCAAATAGGAGTATAAAGAACAAGCTAATAAAAACTTGTTGCATGCAAACACTGATTTTTGAAACTGAATTGAATACGAATGTAACAGTGCCATAACCGAATTAACCACAAATATGATTCAAATCATTTTCAAAGTTTTCGATAGGGGTAGACTGTTCATAGAGAAGTGTGCACTGTCCAGGAGAATACTATTCGTCGTTCACACGGTCGTCGTAAGAATGGAAGGCCAGGCGAAAATGACTAGATTTGAACGGCGTGATTATATAAAGACCGAAACTAAAGCAATGTGTAAGTTGGTGCCTTGAGGATGGCGACACGCTCGAGGCACTTGGAGGAACTGGTGTCGGAACAGCCGAAGGACTCGTCACTTTTACTTTGCTCCTCCCGGGCGGCGGTGCCGTAGCAGCTGGTCGCAGATTTATAAGTGGAAATGTCACACGCCTGGATCGCATCTGTGACTGGTGTGTTTACTGCATCCTAAAAAGCGGCCCCTCGATTTCCACCTGACGACGTCGCACAAGTGGCACACTGTCCTGGTAGCATCGCAACAGTGGTGGTGGATCTGGCAGACGCTTGTTCTGCTGCAGATCGCTCTCGAGCTCGACAGTCCACGTAAGCTTCGGCAGCCAGCAGTTGGGACACCATGACGACAGCGACGCTTAAAGGGGAACTCCGACAATTTTTCGATAGCCTTCGATTTGGCTGGACATAGCAGACAGCTTCAATGACCCTTTCTCAACTGATAGCCAAAATATTTTATAAAAATTAATTTTTTCCGTGAGGTTTTTTAATGTTTTTTAGTTACGCCGGCCGTGAAGGTTCCAGGAGGCGATTCTCTACTGGCGACAATGAAGCATCCCTACTTTTCCCTACCCGCACACATCACCGGCGAGAAGGCGGATGAATGATTTGGGCAGCCGCAAAGCGGCTTTCCGGTTTGCCAGTGGTCGAGATTATTTTTTCGCAGCTTCAAGGTTGAAAGTTTCTTCCCAATGGGCAACCTGTGCTCTGCGGTAGGTTGTACAAACAGTGCCGGGAAAAAAAAGCTTATTTTTTTACCCTTGTCTCTGCTGGAGAAAAAAATACGCTCCCTGGCAGCTGTGGAGGCCAGCCGCGCCAAAGTGCTTTTGCTCATGCTGTGTGTCAAAAGTACCAGCGTCGCATGAAACATTCTCACTTATGCTCGGGATACTTTACAGCCGCGTGCTAAGAATTGAGTATCCTTGTGCAGTTGAAACAGCTTCAAGAGTGGAACTCGCAGACTTAAGTCAGCTGTGACCACTACAACGTTCGTCCACTCTCAACACATGCATATGGAACATTATACAAAAGTAAACAACAAAGGAAAAAAAAACATTCTTAGCCAAGCAGTGGCCACACAAAAAATGATCTTAGTTACATATTTATTATAGATAACAGTGCATTTCTAAAAGGATTGGGGTCACTGATGTGGACTATGTGGTCCGGCAGATCATTCCATTCTTTTACGGTGAATGGAAGAAATTGGTTTTTAGAAGCGACGGCTGAGTGCGACGTACAGTAAGAAAGTTAGAATGGCGCTAAGATGAACGATGGGAATCTAACAACAGAGATTGTCTGAGTTGAGGGTAGTAATAAAAAATATTTATTTTAAGAGACAAGTGCATGATTGTTTGAGGTGAGTTTTGAGAGTGGGGAGGCCAAGAGAGGCCTTCATCGCTGACACACTGGCGGTACGATCATAGTTGCTAGGTAAATTTGATGAAGAGACCAGATGGCACCTGCATACTCTATTTTCGTACATACAAAGGTTTCGTAGGCCAGCCGCCGCAGAGCAGGGAAAGCGGAGTGCAGGAAGCATCGGATATTAGTGCAGTTATATTATCAATGTGGTTGATCCAAGACATGTGAGAAGAAAAATGTACACCGCGGTATTTAGGATTGAACATGCTCGATGGTTTGTGTGCCTAGAGGATATTTAAAAAAACAATAAAAAAGTTTACAAAAAGAAACAAAAAAACATCCTTTAGTGGTTTTGTAACATTTGCCTTTGATCACACCGTTTGGTTACACTTTCAAAATCATTCTGAAGTATGAGATGATTTTTAGTGCACTTTATTTGGAAGATCTAGGACACTGCCCTGTGGGACACCTGATAAGACATTGGTGAGGTTAGATTCTAATGTGTTTATGACTGTGCATTGAACTCTTGATGAAAGGAAGCTACAAATCAAGAAAATGTTAATGGATCAATATTTGTTTGAGACAGCTTAGATAGGAGGTGGAGGCGAGGAACACGATTGAACGCTTTAGAAAAATCTAGGAAAATGGCATTTGTTTGGGACTGTGAATCAAGGTTAGTGTGCAGGTTGTGTGGTAATTAAAATAGTTGGGTGTCAAAGGAAAAACCCTTGCGAAAACTATGCTGATTTTGGGAGAAAAAGTTGTTACTGGTTAGGTGATTTGTGATGTTAGAAAAGACGATGTGCTTCAAAAGTTTAAATGCTATGCATGTGAGCGATATTGGACGATAATTACGGGGGTTAGGTCGATCACCGCTTTTATAGACAGGTATGACATGGCCTATCTTCCAGTCTGTTAGAACACAACATTTAGGCAATGGCTGGTTGAAGATTAGCTGAAGAAACTAGCTGGAGATATCCTCAATATCTTTTAGTATTTTTGTGCTAATAGTATCAGGGCCCAGGGCAGAAGATACATTCAGGTTGTCGATGAGTTTGGCAACGTCAGCTGCAGCGACAGTGATTGGTGACTTGCAAGGAAATGGAAGGGGAGGGAAAAAGTAATGTTATGCAATGACTCGGTTGTGAAGACAGGGGAAAAGAAATCATTCATTTTTTGTGGAGCAAGTTCATCTGGTACAGCGGCACCATCATTCCCTAATGACTTTGTGATTTGGGTGCTGGGGTTGGGTGTTATCGTTTTTCAAGACTTAGTGGGGCTAAGACAGAATATTCGGTAAATCCAGGTGAAAGTACTTTTTTTTAAGCTTTATAGTTAATGCAGTATCCTCTTTTAGGTAAGTTAAGTACTTTTCCCACATTGAAAGGGACCCACTAGCCTTCGCTTTTCGATAGAGACATTTCTTTTTGTTATAGAGAACTTTCAGTTGTGTATTATACCACAGTTGACCAGCGTCCCCACGAATATGTAATAGAGAAACATATGAACTGGCGAGGTCAATGAGCTTTTGTTTGAATAATACCTAATTTTCCTCAACAGGCCGTGATGAAAAAAAAAGAGAGAAAGACAACAAAAAAGATAGTAAGCTCCTCATGAATACCGGAAGAAATCTCATGTTAGAGGTATTTTTCGTGGCCAAAACCCATAAACCAGGAGTCCCTTTTCACACCATAGTGTCTGTGCGGGACACATGGTTACATGCAGTATCGGGAAGTTTGCAAAAGCATCTTAATTCCCTACATATTGTTGACCCAATGTGCGTCCCCAACTCTAAGGCAGTTATTGACTTTCTGAAGGTCAGTGACCCAAACAGGTGTAGCGCATTCAGCATTGATGTTCAAGAATTGTATTATTCTAGTATACCCCACAATGACCTCATGGTGAGTGTCAAGGAGTGCATATTGGATGGAACACAACGATGAAAGCAACTTTAAGATGCAGTACAGGATCATAGTAGAAGACTTCCTTGAACTCTTGTTGGTGTATTTGAAATCCACACTCATTGGATGGCAGGACAAGGTGTATGTACAGAGGTCCGAAGTATGTATATGGTCGAGGGTAGCCCTTGTCTTCAGCAACATTTTCCTAAGCTGGATCGACCAAGATCTTGAACCCTGCTTGGAAAAAAAACCACCAGAAAAGTGTTTTGGTATGTGGATGATTATATAATATTAATTGAGAAGGCGAATTTCCAACAAACATCTGACGATGTGCTGAAGGTTTTCATGGAGAAAGGCTCTTTGTTTCACCTATGAGACCCCACAAAGAAACCATATTCAGTTCTTGGATCTACTCATCGACGTGGAAGATGATCACAATTGCTGGGCGTACAATCCCAGAACGGCGAAGGGACTAGTCAACTTTCAATCAGCCCACTCCAAACTCGTCAAACAAGCCATTGCTTTTTCCTGTCTAAGGTCAGCCCTAACTTGCACCTGTATCCACAAATTGAGCCCCAACTTCATGTCCCAGATTCAGAAGGTCAAGGATTCGAGATTTCCTAATTCGGTCACCTCATCAGCTTGCGAAAAATTAGTAAAGCACCTTAAATCAGGTACAGAGGTCAAGTGAGGGGACCTCGATCTGAAAGTGAAAAAGAAAGTTTCAGTCATTCCATATATCCACCACCTTTCCCATGGACTGAAAAAATTCCCCACAAGACTCGACGTGAATGTTTTTTCCGCCCGCAACAAGCTAAGCAGAGCATGCACCGCAGCAAACAAACGTGCGAGCAAAGAAAATCCAACGAGTCACGGTGGGTGCAGGATCAAATACGGAATGAAGTTTGTCCCCTGCATAAGAGGCACAGTTTACAGGATCCAGTTTTCCTGCAGGCACTCGCATGTAGGACAGATGGGATGTTGCCTGAATATACGACTACGAGAACACCATAGTTTTTTGAAAGGAACCGCTTACTCACACCTTGCAATGCATTGCCGGGGTTGCAGATGCCAGCCCCTTTTCTCCAACACGACAGTGATGTTCCGACACAAGGACCTTCTACCCTGGGAAGTGATGGAGACATAGTACATCACACAAAACAAAACCTTGTGCATTAGTCAGCCGACAGTGACTTTGACGAACCGCGAGATCAGCTTTTTTTGGATTTAGGACGTAGCCCGGCTCGTTCTGCGGGGAGTGAAAGAAGAAGTGCTCAAGACCACGAAGGGGCATGTGCCCGTGCGAGCAGCAGCGTCATGTGTATTTTTTTCGTTTCATTAGAATGAGTCACTAGTCAGCGCTTGTCTTGTGTTTTCTAGTCTTTCTGTCCTTTTCTTAGTAGCGCTGTATTTTATTATTATTTTATTTTAGTACAATCTTTATGAACAGCAACCTGCCATCTGGTCTACATAAATGCTGTTCATTCCATTCTATACGAGTACATTTCAATGTTTACGACAATCACAGTCTACACATGTTAGGTCACAGCGCAGCACGTGCATGTTCGTCACTTCGGAAGGCGAGCAAAGGACGCGCCACTCGCACGAACGCTGAAAATGGCACCGACCAGAAGCACTTTTCTAAAATGGTTTATAGATGTTTCGCTAAATTACCCAAGTGCTAATGAGCATATGCATGCTACAAGAGTAGTTAAGCTATGCATGCTGGTGTCTGCAGCAGTAACTTTTGAAAAGAAAATCTAAAACAAATGGCACGTTCCTGCAGGTAAGAGGTGCGTGTGCGGCATCTGTACCCACATTCCGAGCTCTCGCCGCGGTGCACTGGCAATTTTTCAAAAAATGTATTGTGTGGCTCTTTTACCTTTTTTTGCCAGCGTAATTGCTTTCTTCTGATAGAAGGAGAATGGATTTACGCTAGTGATATCACGAAACTAGCAAACCCCTGCTTGATCATAGTGAGTTGCAAAAACGGTTTTCTCGAAATCCCAATTGCTTTTGTTTTTGTTTCCTCATAGTTCAGCATGTAGGCCAAGGCCATTCTTTGTGCAAATGGAGATTATTATCAACTTCAGATAGCACGATTGCCCCTGCTTTTTTGCTGTTAGATGCGAGAAAAGCTTGTGCGAATGTACCCGATTGCTGGACGAGCGCCTTGCTTCCCGCCTGTGACGTAATGTCTGAATGGCGGGGAAAACTGGGGAAGGTCTAGGGAGAATGAAGTTTCGGTTTTAGTAGCAAACAAAATATCACGTTTTTAATTAACTAGAGTGAATCTGGGAGAGCTAGACAGCATTTCAATATCCGGAAGCCGTCTACTTTCAGGAAATGGGCCTTTGGTTAGGTAGCTCAAAAAATCGCGAAATTCCCCTTTAAGTTTACTCATACTTTTTGCTAGGACTTCTAGTGCCAACTACCAAGATCATGGCATCCAACAGCATGACACACTGGCTCCTGTGATGTCGTTTGTTGCCACTTGAGGACCATTTTTGATGTATGGATGGAATGAGACGCTAAACACGCCAGTCGAAGACACGCTCCAGGCACTCTAGTTAGTGTGAAAGTGTGCAGTTAGCTCTTGGTGCAGTCAAACACATATCACACGACAATGTATGAATAGAGACAAAAAGGTGCTGCTGCTGATGATTGTGCCGAGGAGAAGAGTGTAATGACATCCAGGGGCAGGTTTGCAGGTGTCCAGTGGGTGCCTATGAAGGGAAGGTCGCTACACTAAACCATTCAGACTATTTGGAAGTTCTTGAAAAAATATTTGAGACTTTTATAAATTGATATTTGATTTAGGCATCAAATTTAATTAGGGGGATATTTTATAGTCTATTAGAAAATTAAGAGTATGGTATTTGCACACCCCTAATAAAAAACCAAATGTCTAAAAAATTATCATGCCAACTTCATTCTCATCACCCTTTGAATAAAATGTTCTCATATGTGTTGCTTTTTGGGAAGTATTGTAGCTATGCTTTTTGTAGACGCGTTCAGTCAAAAAGCGTGCGCACTTGGCTCAAGCCAGGCGGTACAGTCTTCTTCGTTGGCGGGGGACGCCACTACACTTTTCATAGCGTTAGGATCAGTGTTTACCAGGATAAGTTGAAATGTAAGTGACCATCCCAGTGTAGTGCTGTCATTAGGATGTCTCTCGTAATCTCATAATTTTCTCATTCTGATTGTACAAGCCAGTTTTCGAGCATGTATGTCACTATTTATCGGTTCCCTCCACACAGCTCTGAAACTGATCTATTTTCTCACCCAGGTTTGACGCACCTCAACATTAGCCTCGACACTATGGTACCAGCAAAGTTTGAGTTTCTTGCCAGACGCAAGGGGTGGCAGGTTGTGCGGAAAAGCATTGACCAGGCGCTGGAAATGGGGTTCCAATCGTTAAAGGCAAGTTGCATCCAGACATTTTCTTGTGGAACTTATGCAGCACTGTGAAAAAGCTTGCCTGAGTGTATAGGTTGAGCTAGCGTCTCACTTTTCTGAGCTCTTGTTCAAATAAAATGCTAGATTAATTCCTGCAGCATTGCCAGCACCTTTTGTGGCATTGTGTGTTACCTGGGTGGTGGAGCCTGCACTACGTTATGGATACTGCACTACAGTACGAAAATAAGAGGTCTAGATGGGCATTGTGTTCTAAACAGTTGACCTGTGGCAAAGAAAGTTGCATTTCAACAAATTTATTTATTTTTTTCTTTTTAAATACCCTTAAGAAGCCATTAGGGAGCGGATAAGTTGAAACCCCATTATTTAAGAAAGAACGAAGTGGCGATATTAGATATACCACGTCAGCTAACGTGTTCTTTAAATGTTGATGATCTTCAATGGTTGCTGTTGGTGCAGGAAGACAATTCCACTCTTCAAATGTGTGTGGCAAAAATGACTGAAAGAATGCATTAGTTCTGGGGAATGGAACTCTGACCTTATTAGCATGGTCTTATAGAGATGAAATGTATTGAGGAGGAAAGATATGTTTGTCGCAAAGGTATGGGTGATGATATAGCCTGTGAAAAAGACGAGACAAAACATTTTTGTGGCGAGATGCTATACTTTGTGTCACTATACTCTATTTCACCTTATCACGTACCGCAGGAAAGGCTACAAGTGCGAGCTCCTTGCTCTAGTGCACATCTCGGCGGTACAAGCTCTCGTGCATTGAGGGCGGCTGCCAACACTATGAGCTCGCGCATCTAGCCTTTGCTGCGGTACTACATAACATGAAACGGAGTATAGTTGCGTGCAGTACAGGCGAAGGCAACGCCAGGCAAGGGGACTTAGGGCAAGAACTAGAAAGGCTGGGGAAGAGGAGATAAACCTCCTCTCCTCTCTAACGTTCTTAGTGCTCTCCCTTTCTCCATTAACCTCCTATCCCGTCCCACCTTCCTGGTGCTCGCCCTTTCTCTCTCCGCCTGGCGTTGCCTTCGCTTGCACTGCACATAACTAGTGACACAAAGTATAGAGGTGGTAGGTCAAAACAAAATTTTGTGGTGCTTATGCTGGCAATTATAATTAGAAAGTATAAAACGAACGGAGTTATTTTTAACTGTTTCTAGTGAGTAAATTAAGTTTTCTTGGCCAGGATCCCAAACTACCGTAATGTGGCATATTCAAGTTTAAATGAATTAGTGTTTTATGCAATGTTAGTTTGAGAGAAAAAGATGCGTGTGAAAATTTACGTCACAAATATCCCAACATTCTGTTTGTGTTGTTAATTACATATGCAGTGTGAACATTCCAAGTGAGATTAGCAGAAGTATATAAACCAAGATACTTATAATGAAGTATGGCATCTAAGGGCTGGTTGTTATTATAGTAAGGTGGGAAGTTTTTAGTTATTCTGGAAATATGCAAAAATTTACATTTGTTAATGTGTAGTTCCACACACCAAGTTTTCTACCATACAGAGATAGCGTCAAGGTCAGATCGAAGAGATATGAAGTCATTGTTACAAGTTATTTCCCGAAGATCTACACAGTCTTCAGCAAACATATGAATCTGAGAGGAGACGCAAGAAAGTACGTCGTTAATAAAGGCAAGAAAAAGTCGAGGACCAGGCATTGAACCTTGCGGTACATGAGAGTGAACGCAGCTTAGCTCAGAGCTTAGATTGTTAGCCTAAACGAACTGTCAACTATTAGCCAAAAAAATATTTAGGCATGTTAAAAAGTTTATGATCGAGGTTAAGCTGATGCAGTTTGTGAAGTAATAATTTGTGACATACCTTATCAAGTGCTTTGGAAAATCTAATAAAATGCAATTGGCTCATGAACAGGGGTCGAGAATAATGTTTAGTTTACTAGTGAAGGATACCAATTGTGTTCACTTGAATAGGTTTTCCGAAAGCCATGTTGTGAGAATGTAAAAAACAAATTAGACTCAAGAAAGTTAGCTAAGTTCAAAAGCGAATATGCTGTAAGATTTTACATTGGATGCTGGTGAGAGAAATGGGCTGATAATGAAGTGAGGAATGCTTGTTACCTGATTTGTGAAGTGGAATCACCTTCCCACTCTTCCACTGAGCAAAAACGTTCAGCCTTTCCACTCTCGTGAAGAAGGAGGATTAGATGAGCTGTACTCAATACACTGCCACAACGCGCACGCGCCCGTTTCCCATTTCTTCTTGTCCGACACGCCGCCGATCGTGGATACGTCTCCGACGAACCGTAGTCCCATGAAGCGCACGCGGCGCACGTGACGCCAAGCGGGTAATCCACGAACTCCCTCCGGATCCTTGCCGTCGGGCCTGGGAAGTGTTCAGCCGGCGTGGAGTGCAGTCGTCAATGGGCCTTGCGCTTGCGCTTGGCCTCCGTGGCACGATTGTTGTCCGTGGCGTTGGCCCGCCGGCGCCATTTACATCGCTGGTTCTGTTCTCGGCGGAGGCTTTCCAGGCGAGCGATGTGCTCTTCTTTGGCAAGGGAATCTGAAGTGCTCGACGCAGTGGAAGTCGAGGCGACAGCGTCTTTGCGGCGGCTGCGGCCCCATTCATGCTGCTGCGTACATCGCTGCTTCCCAGTCATCTTTGCCCGAAAGGGCGCACGGCCGACCCATCTTAAGTCCAAACCGAAACTGATAAGAGCGTAGGAAACAGCGTGCAAAACAGACGAGGACGAAGAAATACGCGTGACGAGTGCTGCGCTCGTTACGTGTGCTTCTTCTATGTCGTCGTCTGTTTTTCGCGCTGTTTCCTACGATGAATTCCCACCAACGCGCCCAACTATTTATTCTTCTACGATAGCTGGAAAGGTTGCCGCCATCTATAAGGGACGGTGGCAAGCAGACAGGTTGTGTGCTTGTTGCCGTCGCTTATAGATGGCGGTAGCTGTCCAGGTAGGTTTGTATCGACATACCGGACACAATCCTCTGGAACCTAGCCCTTAACAGCTCCGCTGTAAAAAGAAAACTATTCTGAAGTGTCTACTGGAAAATTTTGTATAGCATGATAGAAGAATAACAACTACCGTAAAAAAATGCAGAGGCGTCCACTTTGTTCAAGCGCCCACTATTAACATTTCCCAAACGTGGGCCCTTGCCCACGTCTAGAGTAAGCCAGGCTTCATTGAAAGTGGAGTGGGCGCCCCCCCCCGCTATTTTACGGCAGTACTTATAAAAGCTTGCAGTTACACAATTAAATTGCAGTCAGGTGCAAAAGATGGTTTAAGTGTTCTAGTCACTTTCCACACCAGTAGGTTCAGTGATTATCAGAAACATTACAAGGTAGCCGGATTGTTGTGGAGGTGGTAACGAAACATTTGTGGTTGCAGAAAAGTTATGTTTAAAAACATTTCTTTTATTCATTGAAAACAGTCTCTTTTGTTCGTGACACCGCAAATATATATTGTGATTTTGCGTTCAATAAACTCAGTTGTAAGTCACACAGGTTAGAGAGAATAGCATTTTCAGCTCTGTCAATGAGGGTTACATTGTCATCGTCTTTAGGGTTTATAACGCCCCAGAATTTTCTCAGATCAGTCACGAGCATAGATGTCAGTGTATTATGAAGAAAGTCGGGTGTAGCTTTTTGTATTGCTGTTACATATTCATTGGAAGCAAGTTTGTAAGCTGTCCAGCGAATTCATTGGAAGTAAGTTTGTAAGCTGTCCAGCGAGCATTGTTAGAAAAATGTTTTGCAGATCTTTACAGGCTTTTCTTTTTATTTGGTAGGCGCTTAATGGGATGGTTATACGGCGGAGCGTTCTGGTTACACATGACTGTGCATGTAGGGATGTATTTGTTAGTGAAACTATTGACATTAGCCATGAACATGTTCCAGTTAGTTTGCACACTGTGGTCATCAAAGTCCTTTAGAAAATCATCAAAGAATCAAGAACGTTTGGTATTAATGGCTCCAAAGCAGGCACATAGCCAGGGAGAGGGGCCCATGGGGCCCGGGCCCCCTTGAAATCTTCCATTTGGGTGGGGCCTCCTCTCCCCCCTCCTCCTCACACAGCATTTTGTCATGGGCGGGCCCCCCCCTGAAACAAAATCCTGGCTACGTGCCTGCTTCGAAGGTTGCATTTTTATAGTTTCGGATAGTTTTGGCTTCTTGGTTTTGAGACGTGACGGGTCAATCTGAAATGACAGTAAAGAATGATAGCTCAAGCCATGCAAATAATTGATCTCAAACACGATATCAGGTCGAGATGTTAGTACAAGGTCAATGGTGATTGCGACACACTGCATTGTTCTTGTGGGTTGTGTGAATGAATAAAAGAGAACACATCTAGAAAAAATCGCTGGCTAGAGTGGAGAAGGGGTGCCGTGACCTTGCAGTCTTGTATTATCAAATTATGTCCCCAAACCAGTTTACTTACGGTGTTTGTGGAGAATAACATAGAGGATGAAAACCGGACGACTTCTTTTTTTTTATTTCAGTTTGTTCAGACAATACATTTTGTCTGCAGTACCAAGGCAAAAGACCAGAAGGTCTGACGAGGCCTCGGTACCGTTACATAAATGAATTATTAAAAAAGACAATGGAACTCGTTGACAGCAGAGCACACTAAAACAAGAAGCGCTCTGAAATAAAATATGATGAATAACAAAATATATGTATCAATGTCATTTATGTAGTACACATTTTTGATACTATAAAACTATACTATAATACCATAAAACAAGGAAGCATATGAAAAAAGCAGAGATAGCAAAGAGGATAAAACCAGATATTTCAGATCAGTTTGTAACAGTTGTGGGCAACAGAGTTTCTTTTACTATGCTTTTGTATAGCGATATATTTGACGTAATAAGTGTATGAAGATAACTGTGTGTATTAAGGAAGTTCGGAATTTTAAATGAGAGTGTTTGCCTGTCCATGAAATGACAAGTATATACTTGTCATTTTGAGTCTTGTAATGGCAATCGGGTCTAATGCATGCAGATGGATAGCTAGGTTGCTGAAGCCTGTGGTCATGGAATATGTAGAGTCCAAGTTTATAAATGTAGAGTTGTTCAAAGCTCAAAATTTTATACTTCTCAAAATGCGGAGTGGTATGTATAAGCAGAATTGTTAGGGTGACCATATTCCTGAAGGTGGAAAACGGGACATTCCAGCCCGGAGGGGGGGGAGGGAGAGGGAGAAAGAGAGGAGGGGAAGGGAAGGGAAGGTAGGGGAGGGAAGGGGGGCATACTGAAGATTGAGATTTGGAGAAAAAATTTAATGCAAGAACTGCTATTTCAAAGCATTAACATACTACATGCGTGCTGTATTCAGTAACTAAACAAAATATTTCTATTCACGAGTCTTGACAAAAAAATGTGTTTGTGGGCATGAATAGTTCTATCAATTTTACTGGGTAAATATTTTAAGTTACCTATGCTGTTGTTTTTTCTTTTGTAAGATATACTTGTAACAAGTTGGCATAGTTTCCGCTTGCTTCAACTCGCTTTGTACCAATTTCGAAATGATGCGCTCCTGCGAAAACGGGACATGATTCCTTATAGGGACAAAAAGACGGGACGGCCGAAACGGACCTCAAAAACGGGACAGTCCCAGCCAAAACGGGACGTCTGGTCACCCTAAGCATTATCCATTAGACGAACAGCTTTTTTTTGTAGTAAATGTAGGTGTGTGATATTTGTCTTCCTGACCCCAGACAAGAAAGCGGTAGTAAACCTTGCTATATATCAGCGCATAATATAGTTGATACTTCAGCCATTCCGGTAAAAGATGCTTTGCAGATGAAAATAATCCTATTGGTTTTGAGATTTCGTTTCATATTTTATTTACATGGTGATTGAGGTGTTTGTTAAACCACACTCCAATAAACTTATGATTATCGACACGCTCAATTAGAGCTCTTTCCAACTGCAGTTCAATATCTGTATTGTGGGTGCGAGTTAGTGAGGAGAAAACTACATATTTTGTCTTTTCTGTAATTAGAGATTAACCGTTTGCCACCAGCCAGGATGAAAGTTTAATTAAATATTTGTTTATTGTGGTCTCTAGTTCGCTAAGATTGGCCCTAGAAAAAAATGCATTTGTATCATCGGCTTACAGTATTAAAGCTTCGGTAAATGGTATATTATGTATGTCATTTATATAGACGAGAAGCAGTAAAGGTCCCTGTATCGAGCCTTGTGGTACGCCATACTTTATTAACCCTAGAGGCGATTTTATGTTATTATAAAGCGTATACTTAATTTTAGTATTTGTTATACAATGCAATCCACTTATAACAATATCACATATAGCAGTGTACCGGTTATAGCGATCAGTTTTTAGAGCTTCTAGACTAGAAATGATCAGTTTCTAGTCCAAATACAACAATAATCGGTTCTACAATTTAAATTTTTGGGCTTTCTCATTATCGTTATTAGTGGCTTGCACTGTATGACTAAATTAAACATGGGAGTGCTCATCACAGTAGACTTAGCACTTAGGAGCCCCACAGTTCCATTTTAGACACTCAGAGATGCATAAAAAGTTATTTAATTAACATGTATTGGTGCTATTGGCAGACTGAGTGTTGTAGGTGACAACACATAGCAGGTTTGAGAACCTTGTAGCTAACTGAGAAGAAAAGTAAATAGTGTTGTGAGAAGACAAGACTGCTGATTTTTTTTGTCAGTGTTTCTTCTCATACCCCTTCATGACTTATTGAAGACCCAACACTGCTACCATATTCTTCAATGATGCTCAGGCCCCCCCAATTGTGCTGATCACAGATTTGAGGCTCTAAAACTGACCAACCTTTAAAAATGAGATATTGATAATGGTTTTAAGATAATTAATGAACAACTGGGTCGGTGTGTACTCTACAGACTGGTTATTTGTCAATATGAATTGATTACAACTTCCTTTTATACTGTTTCAGATCAACTGCGTTGTGATGAAAGGCATCAATGAAGATGAACTGGTGGATTTTGTCCGGCTCACAGAGTCAAACGTTAGTAGTTCCTCAATGGGCATGCTTTTCCTTGCTTTTATACTCTTTATGGTAAGGTTGCTTTTTACAGCGAAGCTGTATATGACTCGCAGGTGGGATTTTTTTGTGTCCCTCGACAGAAAACACGCGCGCGCGCCTTTTCATTGTTTGCGCACGCCTTATCATTTATCATGTGGTTTTGACACTTGTTTCAATAAGAAAACCACAAAACAAGTGGCAAAACCATGTGATAGATTGTAAGGCGTGAAGTGAAGTGGGGAGTGACGTCACTAGCCTTGCTAATAATGCCAAGCACGTAGCGCTCCCCGCTTGTGTTTCTCGGTAAAGATTGGGGTTGCTTAGGCTGCCGCGGCAACGGCAGCGTACAAAGTCTCTCATATGTAAAAAGGTTTTGGTACAGTGCATTCACTTTTCTTTCGTCAATTATTTGGTATAGACCCTTTTGCTGTTTACACACATGAACTACTGCTTGTACCCCAAGCAACTTCCGGTCGCACCGTCTTTGCAAGCCTGTTGAGCTTGTTTATGTCACCAGTGCTAGAAAACATAAATGCTACACAAACAACAAAGTTGGAGATTTAACAAGGGCCTTTGGCTGTACAATATTACGTTTTGGAGGAGGCAAGTTGGTTTACTAGAATACTCTAAACACTTTAATAGGTCTCACTGCCATGTAGTGGGGGTTCAATTAATAAAAATAAAGCAATAATTCACTTCGAGGGAAACAGAGAAATTATGTGAAAAAGAACAAAAAAGATCTAAGTTTGACCGGTGACATGCCCGGTGTAAAATCAGTAGAGAAAGACGATGACACAGGGAGGATAAGCAAACAAAGGATTAAATTTAATAAGGTAAAAAACTTAGCCGTGCATGGCAATAGAGCACTCAATATAAACCACACTCCAGCTAAACGCTGCGGACCCCTGCGAGCCAGAAACTAATACCAAGAAGGCTCAACGCTCATAAAAGAGGACCAGGCCAAAAAAGCAGCGACGAAAACCCGACACTAACCAACAACGAGAACAAACAGAAATTGAACTCAAACGTTACCGCTACACACATGGGATCATCCCTAAAACAGTCGCGACAGAAAGTAGCACTGCTTATAAATCGTCCCAACGCTCAACACTTCGTACTTCAGAGCCAGAGGATGATGTAGACAAAAACCAGGCTTAGCTTTCCGCTAGGTGCTGAGTCCAGAGCAGTCCGCAGCCTGAAATTGTCGGCCGAAGAACAATGTCTCGAAGTCCGGTGGTCCGGTCAGAAGCTCGATGAGGTCGACACCGCGCAACCCACAGCCATGCACGCTCCAGAACAACAAACTCAAACGCTTGCCCGACAGACAGGGTAGAAGCCAAAAATTAAACGTACCAAGACTCACGTGCAGGGAGTAACCGCGTCGAGCAGCAACCCGGCCAGCTTCAGGGTTTGACTACCTCCTTCGTTCCCGAACTCCCTTTTATAACCCCTTCTACCGACCAACCTGCTGACCCCACCTTTCGGGTCAGCCATTTTCCCAGAAAAACAAGCTACCCGGCATCGATCCAAATGGCAAAACCTATTACATTTTTCTGACAACCAACATATGTGCCCATCCATTCCCCCGTACAAGTCCAAAAACATCAATTATCGCCGATACACAGAACACGACAGCCCTGACAGGCGGCAGACTGAGTAAAGTCGTTGCCTCCGAAAAGCATGCTAGCCAGCGTAAACATCTTTGTATCCCAGTGGCACCCTCGAGTGTCAAATCTGCAGCATACGCTAGTCAGCACACGCATCCCTCCATCCGCGAGGTCAAAGCCACGAATTGTGCTTGGGATTAAACATAATTTGCGTTGCCCATCAAAAAAACCAACCCTGCAAACGAGCAAGTTCATTGGGGACCAACAAAGGACATATGACGGACGAACTGAGATTAAAAGCGGCACCACACTCCCCCCTTCCTACCGTACTGACACATATGGCGAATTTGCGTGGTTCTTTCTGCATGCTCTTTCCAGAGCGCGCGAAATTGGGTGGTTGAAAGAGAGTGCTGTGGCCTGATCGGGTGGTTCATTCCGAGGTCGCCTCTCCCTCTCGGAGCGCTCTCTAGCACTCCGTCTGTAGCCGTCGGAGTGCGGAGCAGCGCAGGCGTCACGTGGTACTTGGACGGGGATCACGAGGTTTTGTTGACGATGGTCGGCAGTGGTCTGTGGTGCTGTGCAAGGTCCGGCAAGACGGCGATTGATATCTGGTTCTACAAAGTGCTTGTGCATTCGATGGTGCGAGGATTACAGCGGACGGGACGACATTCGTTTGTGACCGTAACAGGAAAAGTCGACGTGTGAAGTATTTCCAGTGCTTTTACGAGATCATAAATCTTGCGGCGGTGATTCCGCTAAGCCTAACCGACGAAGAAAGAGCTCGGATAGCTCGCCGCTATTTTATCGGGTTTTGTGGTCGCTTCAAGAAATTTTCAGGTTTGGTAAAAGTGCGTTCAAAGGTTTGTGCTGTAAAACAAAGGGAAAACAGAATCTAATGCACAGTCATTTGTGTCACATGGCGATATGTGGTATATCTTGCTTGCACAATATTTAGCCGTTAGAAAAATGCGGTTTATTAACCATTTTATATTTTCCTGCTCTGCCGTATGCATGACCTCTATCGCAGCGCGTTCATTGTCGAAAACGCGATGAGCTGACAACTCTTTCCAAGCATTGGCTTTCATTCTGTTCTGCAAAAATCAATTCGCATAAAGCTGTCTTCTTTTTTTTTACATGCCGATGCGTAAAACAATTTACGTCACAACCGTTATTTCATCATGTTGCGAGCGTAAATTTTTCTCAATCGTCCACAGTACGCTGTAAAATCTTTTTTCTTTTTTTAATGCATTTTTGTAATTAAGAAGTTTTACCTCCATTACTGGTCTAAGAATCTCGGAGCGCTCTGAAGCCAGCAGTTGTGATCGGCTGAAAAGGATCCTAAGTAGCTCTGGCGGCAAGGAGGGGGCGCTCTGCTGGATCGAGGTCAGAGGAGAGAGACGATTACTCGAATTCACCATTAAAGTGCTCCAAAAAGAAAATCATTATAATTAAAAAAAAAATGAAGAGCCTGAATTTGTGACACTCGCACTCCTTCGTTCTTTTGGCGTTCACCTGGAGAATTGATGGTTAAACATTTCATCTACATTTCAAGCAGCGGTGTTAAGGTGGCCTTTGTTCATTCTTTTTATAAACTGAAAGTTCTCTGGCCCGTCAAAGACTGGAGCACCACCTGGTGGCGTTTGCCATAAAAAGGTTCTGTAGTGCAGTGGGCAATCGTTGCAGGTGATACCTCAGCTTGGCTGTCCAACCCCCCTCACAGCTTAAATAGGAGCTTTTTTTTCTCTCTCTCTCTTTTTTTTTTAGGACCTTGAAATTCGATTTATTGAGTACATGCCCTTTGATGGAAACAAGTGGAGTACAAAGAAGCTTGTGAGCTTTGAAGACATGCTTTCGATTATCAAGAAGGAGTTGCCCGATCTAAAGCGGTGCCAGGATGAACCAAACCACACATCAAAGGTAATCGCATGAGAGTTCTTTTTGGGTAAAGGGCTGTTGAAGGAATTCTAGGTCATGGCAAGTATGTACATGCTTTGGTTTCAACTGCCTTGAGCCATGGGGGGATCGGTGGCAGAGTGGGCTAGCGCACACCAGCTCGAAGCACGTGGAGCAAAAGCTGGTGCTGCAAAACCTAGGATCCTGGGCTCAATCCCCACCCCTGCCCGTTTCAATCTGGATGAGCATCGTATCATTGTGCGGTCGTGTGTCACTACACGACCGCACGACGGTTTGATGCACGTTAAAGCAGGGTGTCTAGCAACCAGGAAAACCGGGAATTGTCAGAGAAATTTTAATTACCGGGAAAAATCGGGGAATTGTCAGGGATATTGTAAAAAGGCGAGCCCAGTGAGGGAAAATGAGCAGGAAACGCCATCGAGTGCCGTGAGCAAAGAGTTGAGGACTTGGGGGCAGAAAAATATGCAATAAATTCAGCTTAGAGCGGAGCGCAGGCTCTGCTCACCCAATGTAGAGTGTGCTGCCCGATGCAAAGGGAACAGCCGACAAATCTAGTCTAAATCTTGGATTGGATTGAGGGCACGACACTAGATTAGATCCAGTTAGAGCTACTAGATTAAGTAACAAATGGGAAAGCCGCAAACCCCAATCCAATCCGAGCGTAAGCCTACAGTATCCAAAAGTGTGCATCTGGCGGCCATGCTGCTATTCGGTTATTGATGTATGTGGTTGAGCGTCGTGTTTTCATGGTGTTTCCATAAGTGGCCTCTTCACTGACGATGTTGGCAGCAAGAAAGTGCTCGTTTAATCCGGACTGGACGAACCCGAATATTTCGAAATGTGCAAGTTGGATTAAGGCCATGCAAAATGATCCTCACAGTGCTCAATGCTCAATGCCATGTGTTGTAAAGGTCATATATTTAACTGCCTCTACAGTGGTCGGGGAGTTTTACCTGAAATTGTCAGGGAAAGCCTGGAAAACTCAGGGAATTTGAAAAATAATAATTTGCTAGACACCCTGTAAAGACACCAGGCTAGTGGTTGTACTGCACAGGCTGAATTTCTCATCTACAGCTGGGAGAATCGTCGCCCGTTGAGACAGACCAAGTTCTAGGCTGTATAAATACACAACCCAATTTATTTTGCCTTGAGCCAGAGGCTGGGAGCTGTTCATTTTCCAACGTGAAGATTGTAGGTATCCGCAAGCTCGATCCTATTAATTTAAGTAATGCGGATTCTTGGGCGAGTTGGTACTGAAACTTGGAGAACATAATAGCGCTTCACGACAGGGACGAAGGGTAGGAACGAGACAACACAATGCGTTAACTTCAACTGGTTTAATCATCAGAAAATCAAAGGTATAAATACTCTGCATCATCACGCCATTCAACCAATCCCAAGCCACGCCACTGATCGCAAGAACTGTGTCTCTGACGATTAAACCAGTTGAAGTTAGCGCATTGTGTTGTCTCGTTCCTACCCTTCGTCCCTGTCGTGAAGCGCTATTAATTTAGTTTTTTTCTGTATTTTGGGTGCCCGCTTGTCCTCGTAGCCTTGGAAGCAATGAACGGATCTTGCAGATTTTCAGAGTACCAGGATGGATGGGCCGTGTTGGATTCATCACTTCAATGACCGAGCACTTTTGTGGTACCTGCAACCGCCTTCGGATAACTGCTGATGGCAACCTGAAGGTATGCTTGTGGTGCATGTTTTTTTTCCATAGATCATTTCAATTGTATTCAGCAAAATAATAGGTTTGTCATTCAAACAATTAAAAACCGGAATTATAATGAAAAATGTTGGCTTGTGTTTGAAAAAAAATCGTAGTCCATAGCAGCAGTAGAAAATACTATTTGTGTAACTGTTTTCTTATGAACTTATTTATTTATTTATTTCATACTACTATCAGTCCCCCAGTGATAGGAGTGAGTACAAAAAACAGTAGACAATGTAATACACATGTAGAACACAATGACGAAAAATTAGGGACTACACGACACCTAATACTCGTATCAAAAGTACAAAGTACAGCAAAAATGATAACATGAGGTCTATTAGTTACATGGGAGACACTTTATTAAATCCAAAACAGTTTTGGATTTAACGATGCTTTCAGGAAGTTTATTCCATTCCCTTATCGTCCGAGGGAAATACGAATTCTTGAAACATTCTTTGTTGAATTTGTACTCTTCGATTGTCCTAGTATGCTTATTACGTGTGATTCTAGATAGATGGGGTTTGATGCATCTATGTTTATCAATCTGCAGTGTGCAATCTAAAATCATGAAAAGCATTTTTAAACGCTTATTTTTTCTCCTCCCTTCTAATAAGGAGATACTTGCCTTAGAATAAAGCTCAGTTGGTGAATCCAGTCTTCTGTACTTCGAAAAAATGAAACGCAGTGCCATTTTTTGAACTTTTTCTAATTTCAATGTTAAACCTTTTCTGTGGGGATCCCAAACTTCACTAGCATACTCCAATCTAGGTCTTATTAGCATTTTATATGCTAGCAATTTAGTTTCAGTGGTTGCCAATTTTAATGATCTTCTTAGTGACCAGAGTTTAGCTGTGGCTTTTTTTATTATATTACTAACATGTTTGTTCCAACTTAAATCACTGGTTATAGTGAACTCCTAAATACTTAAATTCATCTACCCTAGACAATGGTTCACTCTTCAAGTAGTAGTTATACACAGAAGGAACTTTCCTATGTGTTATTGACATGCAAACTGTTTTTTCAGTATTTACAGACATTTGCCAGATCTCGCACCATTTACTAATTTTCTGCAAACAGTCGTTTAGTTCAACATGGTCAGAATCATTGTTTATGTATGTATACAATATACAATCATCAGCAAAAAGTCGTGCCTTTACTGTAATATCGCGAAGAACGTCATTGATAAAAACCAAAAATAACAGGGGCCCAAGTACAGAACCCTGGGGGACTCCCGAGTCGACCCCGCGAGGCATAGAAGCGTGACCATCAATGCTCACAAATTGCCTTCTACAAAACAAAAACATTTCTATCCATCGCAGAACTTTCCTGTTTTTTAGTAAATGCCTGAGCTTTAAAAGTAATTTATTATGGTTTACCTTATCGAATGCTTTTTGAAAGTCTAAAAAAATTACATCAATTTGTCCTCTTCTGTCAAGGGTCGAAGAAAAATCGTGAATTAATTCTGTTAATTGAGTTGTAGTAGACAGGCCCTTTTGAAATCCATGCTGCTTTTCATCAAGTACAGAGTAGGTATCTAAAAACATCCTTATATGCTTCGAAACAACATGCTCAAGTATTTTACAACAAGTAGATATTAATGATATGGGTCTATAATTCGTGACCTTACAAGCATTTCCAGTTTTAAGAATAGGTATTATTTTGGCCAGCTTCCAGTCTTTGGGAACATCTGAAAGCGATTTATTAAAAATGATCGTGAGATATTTTGAACACCATACGCTATAACGCCTTAAAAATTGACTATGAATGTCATCCGGTCCGGCGGCTTTCTTTAGCTCAATAAGAAGTAGCTGTGAAAAAATTCCTTCCTCTGAGACCTCCACTTCTTCGATTGGGGGCACATTCTCAAACAAACAAAATGTTGGTAAAATGTTATTATCAGCGGAAAAAACACTGACAAAATATTGGTTAAAGCAATTCGCAATTTCAGTCTTGTCCTCAATCACTTCTTCTTCTACTATCACTTTGGTAATTACTTTTTTACTTGGTTTTAATTATCGCCAAAACTTCTGTGGTGAATATCTCAAAAAGTTTTGCATTTTTACATTAAAGAAAATTGTTTTCGAAGTTTTTATTTTTGCTTTCAGCTCTTTGCTCAGTGACTGTATTTTTTGCCTGCTGGAACCCGTCGCATTTTTTGCGTGCTCTTGCTCTACATCTTGATAATCGTCTTTTGTGGTGGATTATGTTCCTTGTAATCCATGGACTGTTAAGGTTTTTCTTTCTTGTTTCCACTGGGACAAACTTACGAGTGCATTCTAGTATCATTTCCTTAAAATTGAGCCATAGGTCATTCACTTCTATCAATGGGTTGCCAGCTAGGTGCTCGAAGTTATCATAGTTCAGGCTAAGTTGATCAATAACTGACTCGTCATTGGCTTTTTCAAAGTTTTTATACAAAGTAATTTCAATTCTCCTGAGCATAGGTTTTAAGGACAACGTAAAATGTACAGTGCTGTGGTCCGAAACTCCCGGGCTAAGCTTGCAATCATACGCGTGGTTTATAAGGTTCTCATTTATAAATATTAAATCCAAAAGAGCTTCTGATTTCCCTTGTACTCTGGTATGTCCCTTGACAATTTGAGTTAAAATATGTGAGAAAACTATATCTAAAAGTTCCTCAGCACATGATACTTCGTGGTCCCCAGCAGTGTTGCAGAGTTGCCACTCCGGAGTTGGAATGATTCCCGGAATCATTCCGCATTTTCACGACCCCGGAATGGAATGGGAATGGAATGGGAATGGAATTATGTGCCTTTTGCCCGGAATGGAATCGAAATGGAATGGGCACGGTTCTTCTTTTTTTTTTTTTTTAGTGTTTACGGTCAGCTAAACCGAGCCAGTCAGTGAGTCAGTTGCTCAGAAATAAAATGAGCGGGAAACTGCTAGCCTGCGAGGAGCCCTAACAGACTTATACGCCAACAAAATGCAATACAAAAAAACAAGCGTCAAAGCAAAGAGCAAAGGGGGAAAGGGGGGTAACGTGGCGCCTTTCACGGACGTGCAGGCGTCGGGCTTCGATGGCGTTACATGAGAGCGAAACAAGAAACCAAGCACCAAGCAAAAGAAAAGGGAGCGGCGAAGAAAGAAACCGCCATGCACAACTCCTCATTGTACTTCTTGTCATGCTTTTTTTGTTGTTGTTGCGACGGCTTGTAGAATGCACGCGCGCGCACAGACTGAGATCTGGGAGCGGAAGCGACTGATAACTCGCAGAGCTCTGATAACTCATTGACTTGGGCGCCGTCGAAAGATGATCAAGTATTGTTTTCTTATAGTTTGAGGCGCGTTGTTTAGCAGGCAGCTGCTGCCTTCCACGTTCATTCGTGCGCACTCCTTTGAAGTGCGAAATGTGGGTTTGCTTCGGCATTAAAACCAAAGCGAGATTCACTTCCCTCTTCTCCTCTTGCGCTTTGCTCCGAGGCTTGTTTTTTTGTATACAAAAAAACAAGCCTCGGAGCAAAGCGTATTGTATGTCCGCCTATTACTTGGTCTTTGTTCCGATGCTTGTTTTCTGTGTTTTATGTTTTAGTGGGTTGGGGTTACAAGCAAGCTAGCAGATTCCCGCTCATTTCCCTTGACTTTAGTCTCTGCATACTTTGTTTTACCTTGCGATGGACCGCTGCGGACGCTACGAGTCACCCTAGGCAATCCAGTAACATGAGCAGGACTGCAGGGTGACGCAGCACTCAGAAAGCACTGGATTGGTTTCGATGGCTCTCGTGCTGTCTGTTGAGGTCCATCGTAAGGTGAAGTAGACTATCGTCGCCGCTCTTGGTGTGACCGAACTGACTAGACCTGCAGAAAGACCGTCCTGCGCCAGACGAGGTGCGACCGTTGCTGTGAGGGCAACTGAGAAGGAGAGCTGGGTGCTAGCTGCCACTGAGGTTTTGGCTTCCGCGCGTCTCGGCTGTCCGGTCTGCATTCGTGCTCCTTGTCCTGGACACTATTTGAGGCGGTGAGAAGTCAGTTGGACGGTGTTAATGAGGAAACGTGGGGAATGTCAATTCGAACGGTGCGGTATTACCCCGTTAATTGTATCTTGATGTGAAGAGCTTTGTGAACGCTGACTTCCCGACTTGTCGCCACTACGCGAACAACCGACACCGAGGTAGAAGAATGAATCGGTTGGTACCGTCTGCTGCCTGAACCCGCCACTCGATCAGCGCGAAGAGGAACATCACAATTCGGACGAGAAGACAAGATAAATACAGATTGAGTCATGGCATCGTAGAAGACATTTTTCTACATTAGTCGCGAAGAAAATAAACAAACTGCACGCTGAAAGTTGTGCAATGAAACTATACACGGTGCAGTCGGCGTATATCATCGAACTTTATTCGCCGTCTGAAGAGGAAATACGAGAATGAGTATGCGAAGGGTGGAAAAGGGCAGGCGAACCAGCCAAAAATTGAATTGAATATGATAAGAAATATCGAGATTCGTAAAGCAAGCGTGAACTTATGCGTTTTAAAACAGGTCTCGTGACATGGTCTATACGGTCCCTCGTGCTGCGCCGCAGAGGTTGCATTTTGTCAGAGGATGTGTTCTGCCGCTGTGCATGGAGTCGCTTCCAGCAGTGTACTAGCCGTGTTGCTGTATTTGAAGAATACAGTAATATAGCTTATTCCTGCGCCACGCACAAACTGGATATTTTTTATGGTCTTATCAAACAAACACGCTGGCCGCATATGTCTTAAAAGTCAAATGCAAAAAAAGTTAAAAAAAGAAAAGAAAATGAGTGGATTTAGGTTTTGCTATTGCGAGCAGGGATGGGCAAAATACATGCAAATATGTATTGAAATACAAATACAAAATACTTCGTCAAAGATGTATTTAAAAACAAATCTAATTACATTTCCAAAAAAGCATTTAAGTACAAGATGCAAATACAACCAAATGTATTCGGTTTCCTCCAAATACTTTTCCAAATACATTCCTCAAAATTTGCGTCAGCGACTTCAGGGCACCTGCAACGGGTTTCTGGGTATCTTATTTTAATTTTGAATTGCACACTCGGGAGTTAGTGTGTGAGGCTCTAGTAACGTAATAGAAATATAATCACAAAAAAAAAAATGTAATCGGCTTGGACGTAATAGGTGAAAAAAGTACAGAGCCTCAAGAAGCTTTTTTGTCGATTTCATTTTGGTATAAACCAACAAAGAACCAAGACGTGCAGCACTAGCTAGAGAATTTTTTATTGTTGCAACTCGCACCAGTTACGAAAATCTGGACGACCCGCGCATTTAGAATGTTCCAGGCAAAAATATGGATGGAAATCAGGCTGGAAAGCATCACAAGTTGTCACAGGCACTTATTTAGCCAGTCTGCCTGTGAACGTCGATTTCGTCACTATTCTTGCCCTGGACTAGCGCCGTAATCACTAAATCACTAAACGCTTGTGCTTGATTGAGAAACACTGCATTCGGTGCAGGATGATGTTTTCTTCCTGCTCTGGACAGTGACAAGAAATTTGAGGGATGTATTTTCGCCCACAAAATTGTATTTTATTATAATTGTATTTGAAATACTCACGTTTTAGTATTTAAATACACACGTTAAATACATTACCCAATTTGTAATTAAATAAAAATGCAAAATACACAAAGTATTTGAAATACGTATTTCAAATACTTGTATTTGAAATACTGCCCATCCCTGGTTGCGAGCGACGTGGTCGCGAGATTGATGTCTTAAACAAGCATTGACATATCAAGGGGCTTTCTCGATGTTTGCAGTACATTGTAAACAAACACTTTCTGTCACCAGCGGTCAGCTTAGTAAAAATCAGTGCTTTTTTAAAGAATTTACCTTTTTTTTTTTTTTTTTTTTTTTTTGCAATTGTCTCTGCATTTGGTAATGTCAGCTTTATGCTGCTTATGCCGGCAACAAAATGTAGCTGTCAAGTGCCAATTTTTACGTTTAGGAATTAAAGGAATGGAATCGAACGATTTAGCCATTCCAGGAGTGGGAATGGGCTCAGTGTTTCCATTCCTAGGAATTGAATTATCGAAAACTCTAATTCCCCGGAATGGGATTGGAATGGAATGGGGGTGCCCATTCCACAACACTGGTCCCCAGATCCTAACGTTACCCAGTCAATTCCACTGAGATTGAAATCACCCATTAAAACAACCTTCTTGGAACTTACTTTCAGTTTAAAGAGGAACTCACTTAGTTCTTGCAAATATCCACATGGCATTTGCGGGGGTCGATACAGTACTCCCACAATTGACTCACTTTTTTCCATTTTGATGCTACACCATACATTTTCTATGCCTGAAGCTCTTTCGATTTCTGAAGAATTTAAACAAGATTTGACTACTAGAGCAACACCCCTCCTCTACTTTCTCTGTCCTTTCGATAGAGCGCGTAACCGGGAGGTATTATTGTATCATCTGTCACAGACGAGTCTAACCAGGTTTTAGTGATAGCTACTACATCAGGGTCATGCTCTATTAAAATATGTTCTAGCTCGAGGGTTTTATTTACGATACTTCTTGCATTAAGGTTAATAAATAGGACACTTTTTGCCTGTGGGAAATCAGACGCCTGTCAATTATCATGCTCGGGTGAAGGTACTTCTCTGGCTGAGTAAAGTTCAACTCTCTGGTTTGTATCCACTTCCCATGCGTAAGTCACTCTATTAATCATCAATTTATCATACGATAAGTATACCTTCTCTCCCCTCTCCTTCTAACATTTTTCGAAAAGTCTTTTTAGCATTTCTGAGAATATTTTGTCTTTCATTGTAGTTTCCAAAGCGGAAGATTACTGGTCTCAGTTTACCCCTAGCCACCCTTCCGAGACGGTGAATTCTTTCGAGAGATTTAACTTCAACACCCATTTTTGATTTAAAGAAGCCTTCCACCACTTTTTCCACCAAATGTTGCTCTGTTTCTGCGTCAGACTCCTCTACTCCGTAGATTACCAAGTTATTTCTCCTACTTCTATTTTCCAAGTCATTGATCTTTGACTCGAGCTTTACTACGGTCGCTTCTAAGTGCACTAGTTTTCCTTGTGTGTCATTTAGCTCCCTACTGAGATCCTTTATCTTGGAAGTAGACGCTTTAATAGCCTCTAATCGTTTTTCAAAGCTTTTCTGACCCTGTACCAATGTTGATATGTTAGCCGCCATCTCTTTCTGACTTTCCAGTATTTCCCGCATTGTATCTCTATCTGGGCCAGGATTTTCTTCGACATCCCCTCTCATTAAAAGCACGAGTGCTCTCCAGCGACAATCAGCAATGGCAACAAGGAGCAGTTTCACGCGCCTTGGGCAAGGCAACAGCAATAAACAACGGTCATCTGAGCGGTACGAGTAATCGTCAAATTTGCCACACACCTGCGTACAAGGAAGAAACCACTTATGCGACATGTCGGGCTTGCTGTCGCCTTGCCCACTGATCGCTGATTCGTGTAGCTGTGCCTTTATAGCCCCGAACGCCGACGTTGAAGTGCCTCCCAGGATTTTGATTTGCCGATCAAACACGTGACTGTAGTCCTTGTCATTGCGCACTCGGTGACGAGGTGATGCTTTAATCTGGGTGACGAGCACTTTAGTTGCCGTGTAGTCCTGTAGGCTGATGGTCCCCAGTTGGTTGTGTCCGCGCGTGTCCTCCGTTGGCGATGAACTGTGGTGCGACAGCAGTAGCGGCAGCCAAAACTGCGTACAAGGAAAAAACCATTTACGCGACATGTCAGGCTTGCTGTCGCCTTGCCCACTGACTTGTGGCACACTGATGCTTTTCTAGTTTAATGCTTGATATATAAGTAAAAAAAATAGTAGTAATTTGTTGAAAAGGGACCACTTTCTGTCCCTCAAAAGGGTTCATTGTGCCAGGTAATATTTTGGGAGCTTAAAGACTTTCTTTCATTCAGCACATCTAAATATATTGTGGACCTTATTTGCTGATAAATTATAGTTTCTGAAATGTTAACAGTGTAAGGGTCACTAAATTAATTTTATTGGATAATGTCGAGACCGGTTATAACGGTCGGTTATAGCGAAATAACAGTTACAGTGAAGCGATCACGATTTCCCATTCCCTTTTGCACTTCATTAACCGAAGTTGGTTATAACGAAATAGCGGATATAGCGAAGTGATTTTCGATTCTCGTTCACTTCATTATAATTGGTCTCGACAGTACTTTAGTATATTGGATTTGAGAGATGGGCGCTTGCCCGGTCATCAATTTTATGTAAAAATGTACTGTGGACATGTTCTCAGATCTTGCAAATTTGGGAATGGGTGGATGCACATTATTTTACGGTATGTCGTTTATCACTGTGCTGCATTTTTTTGTTTTTTTCTGTTTTAGGTGTGCCTGTTTGGTAATCATGAAGTTTCATTGCGTGATGCTTTGCGAAGCAAGGTCTCATCCGACGAGCTTCTCAGCATTATCGGCAGCGCAGTCATGAGAAAGAAGTTCAAGCATGCCGGCCTTGAAGAGCTGTCGACTCTGAAAAATAGGCCCATGATACTTATCGGTGGTTGATTATTGTGCGGAGTGTTGATTATTGTGCACAATGTTACATTTGCAGATTAAACCTTTTAACTCTGTTTCTAATGAGTGGTATATTTCATGATTTGACCCTGTCCTGAAATAGTGTGTAGCTTGTGCTAACCTCAGCTCCTTTGGTTACTGGTTTATATTTAGGGTTCCGTGTTTTCGGATAAATCCGAAAAACACTCGCCGGTAAAATTTTGGTCAATTCGGATTTATCCGATGAACTTTGAATTTTGATGTGCCAATGCCCCCCCCCAAATAAACTAAATAAAGATATCATTCTACAATTAAGTTTGATCAGCGCACAGGATTGATGGTCCCGGGAAAATGCCACCACAGTTATCTTTCAAATCTCGTATTATTGACAAAAGGAGTCTTACCGCTTATCTCGTCAAGGTTAGGACGACATGTCATTGTACTTTCGGGTCACGACAAAAGCCTCTGGATTGGTTTCCAGTTTGGGCCATACTATTTGTGTTTTAAGAGGAAGGAGAGGTTGTGTTTTTGTAACAGTGAAAGCTATGCCCATAGATATTGCATACAACTGGAAGAGGGGCAGTTGAAACTTCCCTACTACATCCTTGACCACTCCACCTCGCGTGGCCGCAAGGTAGCATAGAATAGGATGGGATGAATACGTGCTTCCCAGCAATCACCTCCAGGAGTTTGTTTTTAAGGTATCGACGTTTATCGAAGCCACAGATGTGTGCAACTTTTGCCGTTGGACAAATTGCGGTCTAAGCTCATTACAACAGACCTGGTTACAACAGACATCTGGATATAGCATACCGATTTGTGAAGTTTGGTTGGTTTTCCTCTACGCACCATTGACTCAACTTCATATCTGCATACAACATACTCCTTTTACAACAGACCGAAATCTTGGTCAAAATTAAGGTCTGTTGTACTCCTTTTACAACAGATCGAAACAACATACTCCTTTTACAACAGATCGAAACCCGGATATTATTTATTTATTTTTCATAAGAAACGCTGCAAAATTAAGCTCCAAATTTCGGAGATTTTGGAGTCAAACCAAAAATCAACTATAAACTCGAAATTTTCGGGAAAAAATAAACTCCAAAAAACAGCCTTTGAATTTGACGAAAAATAAACTCCAAGAACACGGAATCCTGTTTATATTGTACATATGTTTCATCTGCCATTGTGCACCACACTGCATTTATGACTGCTTGATTATACATACATTCAGCACTCTGTCAGATCTGGCATGTTGCATTGTGCATGCGACAGATGAGAGCGAGGTGCTCTCGTGGTTCTTATTTTATTCCCGACTACTGAATATGGCAATTGACAAAATGTTATGGATTAGCCCATTTTATTAGCCATTATAGATTAGCCAGCAAAACAATGGAGCAGCTTCTGCAACAAGCAACTGTGCAGCAGTAGTGCTCCTACGCTACTGTTGTGGATTTGTTTGGGAAACATTAGGGGGTATAGACAGAACACAGAGTTTCCACACAACATAATTGTTTTTTTATTCCTATAACACATATTACATTATCGCAATCATTTAAATTTACAGTGCTTGTACATTGCACATATTTACAGGGTACTTGCAATTGCAACAAGATTGGAGCAGTCAACACAAACTAGTGTTCATTGTTCTAAGGCATTTAGCTGTGGTGAACATTGTGCATCTGTAGCTTTGTGCTTCATATCTGCTGAAATATCGATGAAAATAGATTAGTGTACATGTGTTTGCAATCTAAAATGGTGGTTGCAGACTCAATCAATATGCCTATATTTACAGTGAATGTTTGTGCACATATTTCTGCTGGTCCATGTCATTAGACTTGTGGCACACATGTACATGAGTGAGCCAGTAATTTGGTTTGGAGAGATTGCTAATTCTAAGCCTTGCATCGCATAAAAAAAAGCTCTAATTAAAAAAGTGAGAAAAAAAGAAACTGTTGAAAAATGTTTTTGATTTGTTGATGGATAAAATCTTACTGTATTTCTATACACATTTAGTTAACAAACAAATGACCAAAACAGTATGGATAACCCAAGTCGTCCAGGAAAACACATTGTTTGAGAACGATAGTTAGAATTGTCCATCTAAAATGTATAATGAAAATTTGTTCACGACTTGTCGCAACAAACTATTTGTGCTCTAGGCATGCTTGTTGTATAAACAGCGTGGTCTATCGATGGTCTGTCGCGAACTATGGTACATTCGTGCATATAGTTAAGAAAAAAGTGCATTTATGTATTGAGGTCTCTGTAGAGGTAGATACACGAAGTAAGATGTCTGCATATTTCTTCAAACGGGCTGAGACCGCATAGAATCGGGCACTTTTAGTTGTTGGACGATTATCAGTATTACAGTAGACGAGCATAATTACTCTCAATTTCTGATGAAGAATATTGACATTGTGCTTGTATTAAACAATACTTGCACAGTATCCAGCATTACTTGAGTAAAGCCCTGCATACCAGCGAGTTATCTACAAATTTCTACAATGAAACTGGCTGGTGCGGATTATAAATTACATTTTCGTGAACGAGTTGTAATGCAGGTACAATATCCTGGGCACATGGATCAAATTGAAACTCTTTGGATATTTGAGGCTGCAGTACCTCAAGATAAAACTGTTTGAAGCTGTTATCCTTGCAGGACTCAGCTCAAAAGTCATTATGAAGTGGTTTAATTTTCTTTTCTTGAACAATATGAAATATACTACCTTAGCTCTTGTCAAGTTTATGCTATTTTTTCTTTCTAATGCTTCACCAAATACCGTGGCTATCTGCTGAGAATTTCAGTGCAACGTCAACATCCAAAGCCTAAAGTTTCGAGCTCAGTTTAATTTAGTGAATCCTGCCAACACCTGTGTGCACTGAAAAGTATGGAATGTCTGGTACCTGGAAGAGGTGTGGGGACCGGACATGTGTGCAGTAAGAGAAGCAACGTCAGTTTTGACGGGTCTTTCTAGTCTCTAATTAGTTCAGCTTCAGAACGAGTATTGTGCTTCCTACTTGGTGCAGCCTAAAACTTACAGTGAACCAAAGCATGTGGAGAGGAACACTTCGCTTAGAGGCGGACATCATTTGTTGCACACTTCCGCAAAACAAACATCTATCATTTGCTTATAGATAGAATAACTTATTGGCTTACTTTGCTATTTGTGCTCCGCACACTTCAAGCTGCATATGATCAATGCACATGCATAGGGTTGTGTTTTAGTATTTCGCTACAACGTGCATAAATAAGGCTAACATTGAAACAACATGCACAGATTTCGGACACTGAAGCGTCCTTGGTGTCGTGAACGGTCAACCAAGCATGGCATATTTAAAGAGACGATTTGCAGTTACATCACTTACATTCCTTAATCAATTCTGTTCTGTTTAGTGATCTAGTCAGCCTGCATGAAGATATTCCAACACCAGTACTCGTGACCTTGCATTTAGAATTTCACTTCAATCAAGATCAACTTGTCCCGAACAATAGCACCAGGATTCTCTGTGATTACACAACACCGAAGGCTTGTACTGATAGCTGCCAGTTTTCAAAACGTGAGAGCCCTCGCTTAGGCTGCTTATGGACACTACAGCGCATGTTAGAGTAGCGCAGCTCGCCGCCATTTGGTTCTTTCAGAAAGCAGAAGAGATTCCCCTTATCTATGCTTCTGTCAAGTTCAACGAGCTTGAAATGATGAAATTTACCCGGCAACCAGTCAACCATCCCCGGCATAATAAAGTGAAGGATCTACCTAGCTTGATTTGAACACAGGGAGCCGCACCCAAGATCCTCAAGATGGCAGCTGGCGTCCTGCTGTAGCCCACTACAAAACCGAGGGGTCATCTTCTATAAACTCTCCTGGTCACTCTACAATCGCTTCAATCGGGCCATGCTGACGTGTCCAAACAAGCTACAGGGGGCTCCAAAGAAGCCTACAGATAATTCGCTGTTACAAGAGCGGTGGGTAGGAGCGCTTTGTTTGCGGCACACATTTGGACTGCAGCTTCACACTGCGTGATAGCCGAGTCCCACTAGGGCGACAAACAGAAACAACTGATACCGTGCAGCATACGCGCTCTTTAGCAGGCTCGTGCTTCACGTGCACCCAGTGATTGCGAGCCTGTCAAGGACACCTGCACATGCATGCTGTACGTGTTTGATGTCTGTCGGTTGTTTCTGTTCGCCGCCTTAGTAGGATTCGGGTCATGAGACTGGCGAATGAAGGATGATCGCGACATTTGTTTGAACAGATCGATGTGGATGACTCGGTGCCGTGAGTGACTGCGAATCACAAGACTACGCGTCCGATGAGCTTTCTCGGGGTGGACTGTGCGAGGACAGGTCGATGCGGCAGTCCTGCACAGTCAGGTGGATCTTGTCTGGGCGCGCCTGGTCGCGGCTCGACAGCAGACTGTGCAGGCTGCTGCTCGTGGGCTGGGGCTTGTGCAGCTCTTTCAGGATCATGCGTGCCGTTGCGGTGGAGTACGAAGGCGGCGGTGAGTATTTGGGCGGCACGTCTTCTTCGAATGCAACGTTGGAGACGCCCTGAGTGGCGTCGGGGGCCATGGGTGGCGCGTCTAAGGCTGCGCTCGTCGTCGCCAGGGTCGGACAGCACCAGGACTCAATTCGCTGTGGGGGAGAAAGTGTGGACGGTTGCAAAATTGGCTTGCTATATGGCGAGAAAGTGATTTAAAATGTGTCTTTGGCATATTGGAAGGCAAAGAAAGGCAAACCGATCAAAGGACACTATAGAGAATGTGCAATCACGGGACAGTCAAGCGCGCGCTCTTATTGGTTGAGGTCGGGGGGCAAACAAAAGCATGTGGGCGCACCTGGCAGGTAAACAATTGCATGAGGTGCACAAGGGGCAGACAAACTTGTAGGCCATATACAATTTTCCAGCGCTTATCACCCATGCAAAAAATGCTGATTCACAAATGAATATTGTTTATTATCACCACATGTGATGATAGGACAATCTGTGGTATCGCAAAAATAAAGAAAATCAATGTTGCACGAAAGCTGCTGAATTTTGCATTACTGCAAATTGAGAGTGTAATATTCCATAAAAGTTTGAGTGATCTTCATGCAATACAGCTAGGGCTGCACAGTACCAAAAACATATACGGATATCTGCCAAGTTTCACACACTAAAAATATCTTTTGTGCAACCTCACACAACCGTAGTTTGGTATATATAAAAAAAAAAAAAAATGTGGAGCTTATTCTAGAATTTTCGGAAGTTCCCATTTACCGTAGTTAGCAGTCGAGTTCTTTACCGTAGCGGCAGTCGAGTTCTTTGTGGCATATAAATATTAGCATTTCAGCATATTTATTGCGAAAACCGTCTGGATAGGTTTATTGTAGGCTGAATGTTCTTATTTGAAATTGTCTTCAAACATACATATGTTTTTCGTCTTTGGACATCGCATCGGCTGTTTCTGTTCATACACCGAGCCCCTATTTAAAGAAGCCTTCCTCAGTGCACAAATTACGACCAACCGTGTCGCACGATTTAGCCAAAAGCATCCGAGTCGTAAGCCCTTTGACGGACCGCAGTATGTCGACGTGCCACGAGAAACTCGATTATCCGAGAGCACGCGCTGATTTAGTTATTCCGAGGGCATCCAGTTTAAAATTACATTTCAGTTTGCCATATGTTAAAGAATGTGCATCTATATTTCGATCTGCCCATCAAATTCTCATTTTCAGAATTGCGTTTTATGAGGAATGCAGCGGACGGTGAGGTCCAGTCTCGGCCTTGCGCCCGCGCGCGACAAACTCTCGCGAGATTTTGAGTGTTTGCCGTGGTTGTCGGACAGTCAAGGTGCCGACACCTACCTCGTGCATCTGGACTTGTGTCCTGCTGAAGACGACGATCTTGAGACCCTGTGCGACGGCGATCACGGCCACGGACAGCAGCGGCAGCGTCTGCAGCAGGACGCAGAAGGAGCCCACCCAGGGGGACCAGTAGTGGTAGAAGAGTGACAGGGACTCCGGGGAGAACATGGCCAGGTGTCCAGACCGCATGAACGCGATGGACAGCATCTGGAGAAGGGACAACCTTAGCGTTTAGCTCCACGTGTTAGTTGCAAAATAAGAAAAGCAGGGCAAAACCCCTCCCATAAAGCTCTCTGCTCGAAATGGTTGCTGGTTTTCTCTTCTCCAGCGTTCGCTCTGCTAAAGTGAAAAGAGTAGAAGTTTGTGGTAGGCACTTGTCCTGCTTTCCTATGGTCGCGTACATGAAAGTGCACTTGGTGATTGCCAAGAAGGTTGTGTTGTGTGTATGTTTATACAGTGGAGGTTATTCAGCCCCAAGGGACGTCTGATGTCTCAGCTGTAGATGGGCAATTTAGCCAGTGTGGTACAACCGCTAGCCTGGGGTCTTTAACGCGCACCACGCAGTAGTGATACACGACCGCACGCAGGTACGATGCTCGTCCAGATCGAAACGGGCAGGGGTGGGGATTGAACTCAGGATCCTTGGGTTCTGCAGTGCGAGCTTTCTCTCCACGTGCTCCGAGCTGGTGTGTGCTAGCTCACTCGATCACCCAAGATTTTAATGTGATGACATCCTTTAGCTAGCTACCCCGCTACCCCCCCCGCCCTTATTAAAGTGATATCAAGTGACTTGACGTCACGGGACCTGCAGACAAATTCAGTTTCCATGCTACATTTAGCGGTAAAATTGAGTCACATCACCTATGCACCAATTTAGTTTTCGCGCTAAAGTTAGTTGAAAAATGGACGTCACGTGACCTATGCACCAATTAGTTTCCCCGCTAAATTTGGCGGGAAAATTTATGTCATGTGACCTGACGTCACGGGATCTACAAACAAATTTAGGTTCCCCACTAAATTTAGCAGAAAACCTGACGTCGTGTGACCTAAGTACCAATTCAGTTTCCCCGCTAAATTTGGCGGGAAAACACATTGCAACTTTAAAAAGCCCCGAACAGAAAAAAAAAAATTTTTTTTTCTTAGAACAGTTAGGTTGGGACAGGCGTGTCAAAAAATAATTTTACTCGAAAAAACTTTTTTAGAGAACATACTTATTGAATATTATTCCTTCGTTCTATTCAGACAAGGTGGCAGTTAAATGTCTTATTGTATAGCCCCGTTGAAAAGTTTTTCAGGGGCCGCGGCATACAAAAGGATGATCCGGGAAAACGTAAGAACACATAACGCTCTCGGGGAGGCTTAAGATGAGACGGGAACCAACTCTCACCCACGAATTTTGGACTTCCACAGCTGTCGAGAACTATCATACTTATTCAGTTTTTAAAATAATGGCCCGATCAATCTTAAAGCATCAAAGAACGTCGACCTACAATAGTGAGCTCAGCTAAGTTTCAGAGACCATCGAGCTAGCCTATATGCTCCCCCTTATCGACCGCTACTCCTAGCACGCCGGTGCAAAACAGCGAAGCTCGACGCGTGCACAAGTGCTAAGCGGTGAAGCTTGACACGAGCGCACCAGTGCGCTGTTGTGAAGTTTGACACGAACAGTGCAACGCGAGTACCCCAGCGTTTTGGGCCTTTTGGCAGGTGTTTCACGTGGTAATCATGCGATCTTATCAGGAGTAGAAGGCCCTGGTTCTGTCTAATGCTCTCCAGCCATATTACGAAGACTCTCCCATGCACCTTTTTTGTTTACTCTCGTCATTCGGCCACCTGGCAGGCATATCCGGTATAGGCGACGAAAAAATAATAAAACATTTTATCCTGCATATAGTCGCCCACGGTGCTCGGTGTTTTTGTTGCTTTCACTGTCTCTGATTAGACCAACCACACATCATAGCGTTCGGCTTCGATCGGATTTCGTGGCGTCATTGCCCGGTACTTCAGACGACGCCATTATGAAGAGACAAAGGTGGAACGTGAAAGAAGTGGAGCATGAGGAAGTGAGCAGCGCAGAAACTGGCATCCTTCGCGCCGTCTGCGTCAAATGGCAGCTTTTAGTTCTAACAGCCGGAGAGTGAAGCGCAACGCACAGGGAATTGAAGCAATACCTATGGGTGTTCAACGGGTTCAGCGTTTGTGAGCGTAACAGCCGGGAAAACGCGAAAAACCATGGATGTACCGCCGAGATTCTACTAAATTATTTTCAATCTGTATCAGTAAGAAAGCAGATTCCAGTACCAGAGAAGTTTGAGCTTACCAAGAATGAGATGGGTAGCAAGACGTTCCAGTGGAACGTGAGCATGGGTAGATAAATAGACTTGGACCTCTCCTTTCGTACAATCATTCTGACTAGCTTGTCCGTTCCAAACGGTTTGCCTGAAAACAATAAAAATACGAAGCTTATAAGGGCACAGGTGCAACGAGCGACGATCTCATGTAAAAAGTTTGATCGTATTTAGCAAGCAAAGTTGTTTCTTAGGCTTATGTTTCGAGTTATGACAAAGGCTCACCTTGTATAAATAACACGACTATGAGCATGATGAAGTAAAGAGCAACAATCCACCACAGAGATCCCAGCCACACATCGAGAAACAGCATCAACTGCAGAGTTACCTGTTGGGAAACAAGGAAGATTTTACCTATAGTCTGTGAACACATTCTGATTATTCTCACATTTTTGAAGATTCCGTTGCACTATTCTAGTCAAATATAAAGCCGTAAGGTCAAATCGGCTATGTATACATGCGATATATATTTTTGGGGTATGGGAAATAGCATGCTCAGTATTTTATCATAACGAACTGAAAAGCGTAGCTCCTGCGGTTCAACCACATACTGTAACCTTATTTAAAAAAAAATATATATATTATTAGATATTTTGAGCCTAGTTTTCTCCGTTTAATTCAGAAAATGGTGATCAAGCAGCGGAATGAAGTGAAACCCACGCGGTAGCATGTTTTCAGATCACTATACGTTTTACTGGTTAAATAATGAAACAAACAAAAAATCATGATAGAGACTTACGTCTGTGGCGAAGAATAGCCCCAGAAGAAAGCCTATGGTGCAGGCCACAAAGGTTGTGATAGTTCGCCATCTCGAGAGACACTTTGGCCGAATGGATACGATGGCGTCCACAACGCAGTTCCACAAACAGATCTGTAAAGACAGAAATTCACCGGTAAAAACTTAGCCGCCTCAGTGGCTCCAAGGCAAGGTGAATAGTGTACATATCAGCCGCAGAAAAGGCGCCATGTAACAGATTTGGGACGCTCGTAAAGAGATCGTGCTAAATTATCAAAATCTTCTTTCTTTCTCTGGGCTGGAGCATGCTATAGATTCCCTTTGTAAGGTTGGCACACAAACCGATTCTCTCTCTGTCTCTCTCCCAGAAATAAAACTCAATAAATATCACATCATTTGCACACATTTCATGACGGTATTAAAATGTGTACCACAATCTATTAACGCAAATCCTCAAGCCGCTTAACGCATCCACATAATGTTTTTTTTTTATTATTATTATTGTGGTTGTTCTGCTAGCGAACGAAAGCCCATTTTCTGGCATAGTCGTAAACCTATTGGCACGCATCCATTTGCCCTCGTGAGACACCGTATCATGAGACGCGAGCGTGCCGTGGGACTTGTCAGGAACTCATGCAACCAGCTACTGGTTAAAGGGATTCTGAACCGAAATTTGGAGCTCCCAGAACAAGACTGCAGAGCGATAGGCGGGACGCCGCAAAACCCAAACACATCACTGATTCAGCAGTATCTCTAACGGATGGCTGAATTTTTTGGAAAAGAAGTGCGCGATTGAACACTGCCGATGCACGTCACGATTCTCATTCCCTCTCCTCTTCGCTACGTCCCGTCGAACTGGTGAACCGAAGCGAGGAGGCGAGAAGCGAGGCTGCTTCTCCTCATTCTTAACTGTTCCAGGAAGATTGTGACGTCAAAGTCCTCACTTGATTGCACCTATCTTTTCCGAAAATACGGCCATTCATTTGAGATTGATGTATGAGTGATCTTTTGGAGTTTGTAGCGTCCCGTTCAACGCTCCTGCAGCTTTATTTCGCGAAGTCCTAATTTCGGTTAAGCATCCCTTTAAGACCCAATGCCCCGCCTCGAGCGCAAGCTTTTTTGCCTTCGCCGCAAGCGCAGGTAAAGCCTGGCAGAAGGCAACGAGCGCGTGCTGGTTGCGGAGCTTCTACTGAGTTTTTAAGCAATCACCGACTATTGGCCATTTTCATTACGTTTTGCAAACTTACTTTCTCGGCTTCGTCTTTAGACCGCCAGGCGCTGTGAATATCTGATTCGCTCGAGAAAGCTTGCGAGAGAACCTGTTGCCACAGCTTTCTGCTCTAGCCACTAGGTGCCGTTGGTTTCGCAGAAGTCACAACCACATGGATTGCACTGACCTCATATCTGCGGCCATTGTGAAGCTGCGCGCATACCTACCGGAGCATATATTTCGGCAGCACCGGATGTATTTTTCTCGGCGAGAACAAATCACCACCAGTACTGTACCATGTACAGACAAAATTTACTTTCCTCCCTACTACACCAAACGAGGGCGGTGTCGACACCATTTAGAAGACAAGCATGCCTCAGCCTTTTCCCCGCAAACGTCATCACTCCACTCCGCGTCGCCTGACGTCGCGTCAGCATCGCCGCCAGCGTGTCTCGCAGCGTTTTAGAACGAATGCGACGCTGGCACGCGGCGTTGCCAAGATGGACGTGTCTGCCGCTTTGCGGTGACTCTCGCCGAATTTCAGCGTGTCTGCCACTTCGGGCAGGTCGGGGATCCACTAACGATGACATCATATGCAGGCCTTTGTCCTCTAAGTGGTATGGACTGCGCTCAGGACAACTGGCCCACAAGAGCGGGCGACACTGACCTGCTGCCCGAGGCCGAAGGTGGCCAGCATGACGTAGAAGCAGATGGGCCAGAAAGGTGAGATGCTGCGGCCGCCCTCTGCGGACAGGCCCGCCGGAAACACCTCAGTGGCGAACCTGGCCACCTGGTAGCCGCTGAACAGGCTGTGCTTCCGGGGGCTCTGGAGCAGCACCCCGGTGAGCAGGTTCACCGGGGACGAGAGCGTCATGGGAGGCCAGGACCCGTTGGCCGATTGCAGGAAGCGCACGGTTGCCTCTTCCTCTGCAGGGAGACAGACGTGGCATGTCATTCGAGTGGTTCGGGTCATGGCATCCAGTGATTTATAACCCCCCAACATGCCCCCAGGGTGAGTTTAACACCTGCCCACCCCCGCATTTTCTACAAAAAGTGGACACAGATACAATATCCCACCCCTTCTTTGACGGTCTTCGATAACCCCTTTGGATAGCTTTCGGAACGAGTACTGGACTTTCGTCTACATGCATATCTGCAGGTATGATACATGGGCACAGACTAAAGAAGAAAGGAAACCTACGGAATATTTTAGTCAACCACAATTTTTCTGGAAAGAAGGCCTGGAATTGATCTGCAGTCGCGCGAGGGGTCTACTGCACCACTCGAAGGGAGGGTTCTATTAGCGAATTGTAGTAGACCGTTTTTCTCCTCCGCTACGGTATCTGTGAAGAAAACACCGCAGCTGCGCATGCGTGCCGCCAGCTTTGTCTGCATAGTTCAAGGTCTTGTGGCGGATTACGGAGCGCTATTCAGATGCTTAGCGGGCTGCGAAAACGGTCTACTACAATTCCCCAGTATCTCGGCTTATTTTTACTATTTACGCTGTCAATGAACCGGTAGATAAGGTGCCGTTAATAGGGAGTTTTCGTAGATCGTTTCCACTGCCCCGCAACGCTCTCCGCAACCAGCTATGCCAGCCGGAACTTTACAGTCAAGGCCATCGGCGTGCCGACGCAGTAGCGGCTGCTTCGTTGCGGAGGGCTTAGCGGAGGGGGAAACGCGGTCTACGAAAACTCCCTACCAGGGAGATTTCGTGTACCGTATTGCCCTTTCCGCTATGCTCTCTCCAACTTAAAGTTCGCTACTGCGCAAGCACGCCGCTAACCTCGCCTGCAGAGTCCCGGATCTCTGAGAGGGTTGCGGCATTAGCGTTGCTGGACGGCGAAAGCAATCTACGAAAACTCCCCGGTGTCTCGATTGGCACTCTCTCTTGTGAAACAGTAGTTCAGGCTTTGAGACTGTGGATTACTTTATATTTATCACTACTTTCCATGTGGGGAATTCAAGCCTTGCGGGGGCGCACTTACCGAATGATGAGCTGACTAGAACCATGCCATGTGTGCGCAGCAGATGCGCTATGCTAGCGAACAGGGATGCGACCAGCACAAGCACTGTACAGACGAGCGTTGTCACGCAGATCATGTTTCTGAAAGAGCCAGAAAGGTTTCGTTAGCGCAAAAATCGCCCCCTTTAGGTCTGATTCCCAGCTCAGGAGTCAGCCTACTAGAATTCAAGGACAAGGCGAAAAAGAAGGAAAGACATACTCACCTCGTGACATTTGTTGAAAATTTGTTGTGACTATTGACATGAAAGGCCAGCGCCCCAAATAGTCCCCAAGTTAGGAAAACTTCTCGTGCCGCAACAACCCAGGACTAGATAGGAGAAAAAACAAACAAAAAACAACTTAGTTTCTGATTGAACATCTTAGTTTCAATCTCTCGCTCGCTAGCAAAATTGTAACAATTCAAAAGGGCCGAAAGGGCAACAAAAGAAGCAGGAGCTTTATGATCTTGTGGCTCTTATATCGTGTTTGTCATCGCTGTAGCTAAAATGCTCACATTTGCGTCGGCTAAGACTCCTTTCCAGTCTGCCCTGAAGAGACTGGAGATGCCTCCTCCCCACTGCTCTGTCATTCTGATGGTGATGAACACGAGAAGGCACATCGAAAGCATTCCCAGAACGGAGAGAATCTGTGAAAGCAAGGGTAGACACAGACATAATGAATGACAGAGAAGTAACTCCCAGTCTTGTCTAGGCCATCCATAGTTATCAAAACTAACAATACTACAAAAACCCACAAGCTTTATTTATCTGTTAAATTAAAAAAAAAATATAAGGGCGAAGAATATTATTTATATGCCGCAAGCGTGTGCTTAAAAAATATTTTTTTTTTTTTTTTTTTGATATGAACACATAGAATTGCAGTTTGCAGAAACCGAAAATTACAAGCTACATTTTGGCCAATCATGAAGGACAAGCTGCGGGCACGCGCCTTACATAACGGTGGCAATAACTTCAGGAGATCGGCTTTGTGGCCCAACAAGCCTGCCGAAACGACACCTCCGGCAGCACGACATTGTTGCGGGAGGGGGGTGTTCAAACTCAGGGTCAAATCCAGGGTTTGCACGCAGGAAATGATAAACGAAAATTATGTTCAAGCTTTCCATAGCTTCTCAGTTTCACTCATACAGGGCGGAACACTCGTGGACACTAGAAGCTGGAGCACGTGGTGGACTTCGCCGTTGTTAGCTCAAGTACAGTGTCCCTCTGCTGTAACTGGAAGCGTCTGTAGTGCACTTTTCCATTACACACTCTACCAGTTTAAACAGTTGGTTCCAGCAAGGCAGACAAAACCTCGGCAGGCTTTCATCATTGTTGTTGTTCACGAGAGAGCAGGCTCGAGAAGCCCTAGCAGACGGCTCACCTTGCCAAATGACTTGAGTCCCCGGCTTAGCGCAATGAACACCAGGAGCCAGATAATGCCGAGGTTGAAGGCCAGTTCAAACCTCAGCTCTCCGATGCCACCGGCTGGCGACTGTGGCCGGCGGTCCAAGACCCGCCCGCTGTGGAGTACCAGGCAGACAGACAGGAGGTGAGTTGGTGGAGCGACGCCGTAGGGGGCACGGCCATGAACTTGGAGCCCAGAGACATAATAATATAAAATACGAGCCGGTATATACTTACTGAAAATATGATGCTGTGGTCCAGCCCAAGAATTCTGGCGATGATACATTGTGTTTATAGCAACCTGAAAAATAAATTGTAATAAACGGTTTATTTTAAGAGAATGAAATACTAAAATTTTCTTGTATTTTTTTAAGGTATATGCATTATAACTATTCAACCTCGCCTGCCAAGAAGAAATAAAAAGCATCTGTGCAGGCGTTTGAGTCTCGTATTTTGATGTTGTCAGCTGTGATTTTATAAGGAAATTGAAACCATGAGCCCTCTCTTCATTTCGACTGGGAGCTTTGGCAGGTACTTCTCGCACCTGTGTGCTTGCAAATAAAAATAAAAAAGGAATAACCATGCCTGCCGTATCCCCCTCCCCCTTCTTCCCGCGCCTTTAGAGCTCGGAGGGGACGGGCGAAGCGACTCACCGTTGGACGCGAACCTCGTCTGGCAGACGGACCACCGGTAGGAGTCCCTGGCTTTGATGAAGGAATCTCGGAAGTAAAAGAAGAGCCAGGAAACGGGCACGGCAAAGTACACGCCGCACACGAAGTACACGAGCACCAGGGCGACTCCGACACCTGCGGTGAAGAGGGTGGGAAGCCAAATACGTTATTATACTATTCTTCCTTTCATCGTAAGTTTGGGAGCAGTCGAAGGCTCGAACACACATCAACTTCGACTTCATGCAAAAAGCGCAAGTCATCACACTGCTTGAGGCATGTTTCTTCTTTGTATAACGCTCCTGCCACATTGGTTATACACATAACTGTCTGCGGACATGTTTGAAGCACACATGAAGCAAACATGTTTCCAACATGGGTGAGGCGCGAGTCCGCAGGTAATTCTGTCAATCACGTCTGACACACTGTGTCTTTTTGCTTTATATGATATGTATTAGCAAAGGGTGATCGCGGCTTTAGAATAGCTTGCTATCGGTACCGCTTACGTACGAAAGCTTCTGCAGCGCGGGAGCACGCGCGCGCTTGTACCAAAAATATCAAATATCGCGATACGACATAAGTTTGACTTTGACCTTGACCTTTTTGGACAAGGGTATCTGCGACCATGCCGGCCCCGGGGAAGCGAGGAGCTGAGAATGTCAGCGCTGTTGTTGTTTACTCACCTTTGAAGGCGGGCGATATGTACCACATATCGAGGATCCCAGATCCCAAATATTGGCCCAAGGACATTTGCAGGTACAGGAACGGAACTCCAAACACGGATGATAACACGAAGAACTGAAGGATGAAGCAGGCTGCATGAGCAAAGGGAGAACCAGAGATGTCGTTAGAGCTCCACAGACGTAAACGGGAAGGGGAAAAAAAAACAGAATAATAAAGTCTAAAAAGAAAACCAAAAAACTGAATGAGTAGATGTAAAGCGCGTCTCCGAGAGCAATATTCACCCTCTCGTTAAAAATATCCGAATTTTATATCATATATATATACTGACATAGCCGGGAACAATCAGCTACTACCATCTTCTTTAATCACAATTAATCAGTGCATCGATCAAATCATGCCCACGCTATTGATGCCCTATCAGAGAAGCCACGGTGTTGAAAAAGGTTTACAACTGAAGTCGTTCACCTAGACTGGAAAAAAAGAAGCTATATAAATGTATGTCATGTATAAAAAACAACACGCACGCACACACGCACAAGAAAATTCGGTTGGCCTGTATCCCTTGTTGTGTCAACATAACTTTCGCAAATTAATCAGCCAGAAGCAGATTGGCAGTGTAACCTAACAATAAAATTAAAAAAAAAAAAAAAAAAAAAAAAAACCTGGTGTTGCGTTGCTCGCGGAGCTACTCTTCAGAAATCAATTTTAACCGCTCTAAATGAAAAAAAAAAAAAAAAAGATTTAAACATAATTTCTTGATCTCCGTTTAGACGCGAGATAACTCGTCTAGACGATCGTTCCGGTCGTGTCTCCGAATGCCAAGCAACTTGCCTTTATAAATATAGACCAGGATAGAGAACCTGGTGACGCTGAAGAGCCCGAAGACGCTGAAGAAGGTGGCGAACACGGAGAAAAGGTCGTGGGACCAGAGGCCCCGACTCAGCCTCCGCGCTTCCTCGTTGCTCGCTGCCGTCTCGCCCCTGGGGACCGCAGGGTCGCTCGCAGGCGCCTCGTCGTGCGGCCTGGACGTCGCTTCTTGGCCGCTGCTGCAAGCCGGGCGGACTCCCGTTTAGTTTTTTTATCAGCTGCACAAACTAAACGAATTTTCGGAATACCCAGGCCTTACTCTTATCGGCGTGCTATTCATTTTCTCTAAATTCAAAATAGCTATTGAGAAAACTGCAAATGAAGATTATGCCCCCGAGAAAAGAACATTCAAATCTTCCCGCGCTCTCCAGTGGAGTGACGTCACACGTTGTATGCGGAGCGCAAGTTCGTCTGCTTCTTGCGCATGGGTTACAGTGACGTCAGAACACCAAGCTCTGATTGGCTCCGATTCGAAGAACAGTGGGTAGACCTCAGAGCTAGCTGCCTTGAGGTCTACTCACAAGCAAGAAAAAAAAAAAGAAAAAAAAAAAAAGAGTAGGAGGATTGCAGCACATTCATTGTGCGCGATTTGGTTTAGTTGGTGATAAGAAATGCACCAAGAATATGCATTTTTGGCGCTGCTTGACGGACTCCACGGGATCCGTCGGTTCCGGGTGGACTGAAAGTGAGACCGAGTGTAGTAGGACGTCATTCTTTGAACTCGGAAGTTGCCCGCAAGACACGCTTTCCGTCAAGGAACAAACGACTTGCGCGCGGAGACCCCTCGAACCCGTCAGAGATTGTTTTGCTCCCAAATATAGCCGGTGCACGCTGTCCGGCGTGTTTGTGCGGTCGCATCGTCGGCGCTTGCCGATTGCGAACGCCTCGCGTTTTAGAGGCCGAATTATGGATTCGGGCCGCCATAAAGTACGGGTTTACGGCTCGAGTTGTCAAGCTGAGACCCAGGAAAGACTGGCTCCGATCGGTTGTTGGCTTTTAGCAACCGGTTCCCAAAGTACCCTTGTAACAGAGAACGTTTCAGCGTTGTTGTTTTTTTGTGTGTTTTTTTTTTTTGTTTCCGTACAACTATATATATGTAGTATGATATGAGGTGCACCTTATACGTGTTCCAAGCTGTGCGGACATATTGGCAGCCGTCGTCGTTGTTTATCGCTTGCAGAGCGCTAAATCCTGTGGCGTGAAATAAGCATTTCGCTAATAGCAATCTATCGCATCAATGCGCTTATTCTGAGTTGTTCTCTTGCTCAGAAATGTCAGAGATGCAATAACGAATGCAGTAAAAAAAATTTTAAAAAGCGAGTCCAGGCATCGACGCCGCCGGCTTATTCCCCTCCTCTCCCCCAAAGCAGTCCAACGTTTTCTACTACTAATATTACTACTTCTCGTCAAACTTTTTTTTAACACTTGCACGCGTTTTTTGAACACCTTTTACACTAGTGTTTCGAAAATTAGTGTGCTGGAGGCATCAGGAACAGAAGCCAACGTTTCGCTAAAAGACTCGCGTCTTCAGGGCTGAGCATGAAGCCTCGCGAGACGTCGGCTGCCATTATTGATGGTTCTAGGAGGCTTATTTTCGAATCATTTTCTTCCGTGTTTGTCGTGGACGTTCATTTTAAAAGATGCGTCAGTGTTCACAATCCCACATCAGCTGATCCACAGCATTGAGCCTCATGGTACGGCCACGGGACCCACCTGGCCGAGTCGCTCTGTTCGCTCAAGGTGGTCTCGGTGGCCAGCGAGCCATCGTCGAGCGAAGGCTGTCTTCCAGGAGGCGCGGCCAGGGGTTGGGACACCTGGGTGTCCACCGGCGCCAGCGGGACCCCATCCGAGGACAGCGGCCTGCCCGAGATGTGGAACACCGGCGGCGGTGACGTGGCCCTTGTCCCTGGACCTCCGGACGCCGACGCCTCGCAAGGATTGCCCATCGGTGTGTCACGTGGTCAGGGCACTCCCAGCCGAAGACCTCGGTGCCCGCTCATTTAGTCACCTGCGTGCGCGAGAAAACGGGAAACGGCGTGGCGTAAACAGCGGGAAACAAAGGGCTCGACAAACACGGGCATTACGAGCAACGCTATAATGGGCTCCAGTGTTGCTTTTATATATATATATATTTTTTTTCGTAACGCATGCCAAGGCTGCGCAGGCGGGGCATGGGAGCAAATGTTCCGACTCGCCAAGCGGGGACATGTGTTTACGTGATTGGGACAAACACATTTCGGCATTTGCTTGGTTGGACTGTGGGGTACAAAGCGCCGTAATTGTTCTTGAACTTATTTTAGCGTTGGGAGCACCTGTGTGTGATAGAGCGAGGCACATATGCTTGCATGAAAGCAGGAGTTGTCCCGCTCATGTAGTGTATACAAAAGACACGGCATCTGCTGCAGGCATGATGACAGAACCATCACGCCTCAAGCACCTTCGAAGAACGTTTGTCTCGAACGTCTCTGCAAACGGTTTGGAAGCAGAGAGTATCTCCAGAGTCTGGGATGTGTCACTGAGTAGCTTGATACGAGCACAGTGTACAACGCCGAGTTCATTTTAGGCGGGAAAGTTTTTTCCGGCTTTGTGTTCAAGCATACCTCCCTGGGTACATTTGTCTCGCTTTCTCGCTCTTTCTCTTTTCTTTTTTACCATTTAACCTTTTCTATCTAGTGATGACTTTCCCTTTTGTTTATTTCACGGTGTAGCAAACCAGCAACAGCCGCTGGCTGACCTCATTGTTTACTGTAAACGCCAATATCTCTCTTTCTCGGTACAGCGATTGCACTTCGAAAAAAATAGACGCACAGGAATTTCTTAGAATGTTTTTATTTTAAGAATAAACAAAATCCAGTGAACGCGCATGCGCACCGAGAGACGCAAAGATGCACAAGAATGTTGAGAACAAACACGAAGAAACAGGAAACCGATCCTGAACTACGACAAAGACACATCTTTCGGTTCCGTGTCTATTTTTGGGTTTGGTCTCAAAGCCGCGACGTCAAGTACAGAGTAGGGGGCGTTTTCGGATGAGGCTTATTGTCGTCTTGAGATGTCTTTCGTGCCTACCCATGTACGCCCTTGGGCGAACTCACGAAGGGGAAGAAAAAAAGACATCTTGGTTCGTAAAAACAAAACAAAAACAAATGACTGGTTTGCGACATCTCTACTCCAGATCGTTTTCCAACGTACTCCGTGTCAGTTCTGTTTGCTCAAGCAAGGCGCGCTTTTGTGCAGAAAGCCGACGCAGAATTTTAAGCGGAATCGTGCTCGCATCAGTTCCTCCCTTTTGTGTTCGGCGGCGCCTGTTTGCTTTGACGTTATGTGGAGCAAGGACGAGCGATGTACACGTGGGCGTGTCTGTGTCGCCTTAAAATAACCCGACATACAAAAGAATCGGTTCTGTCGCGCGTATGCATAGTCCTGACCCGGGCAGCGGACGCCTCTGAGTACACATCTCATCAGCGGCGCGATGTATGGCAGCCGCTAGCACTCCCCTTCCCTTACCGCCTGTTCTTGAACGGTTGGCAGCGCAACTAAGGCCCTTCCTCTTTTTTTTTTTTTTGAGCATGCGTTAGTGAAGAAATCGGGATATCGTTTCCAGCTATGTGATCGTTCTAAATCATTTTGAAGCAACTTATAAAACAACCAAAAATCCATTAAAAAAAAGAACTTATAGAGCAGAAGCACACACTTCATTTTCACCCTTATCTCTGCGAATATTATGTGGTAAGATTTACATGTCGGGCCTGTCCAACTAAAATGACGTTGAATATTTTGCCTCCCGACTTCTCCGCAACCTTTTATTAGCATCAGTTGCACGGCGGGTTTGATGATCCCAGACACAGAACGAGTTGTTTGGTTGTGAATAGAAACACCAGGCACATCAATAGGTTGCTGCTTGCTTGATGAAGGACAGTATGAACTGTTTGGGATGGTTGCTTTGCGTATGGAGTCAACATTAAATCAAATATTAGATTCTATCAAAATAATGTTATAATAAATTGATACCAAGCGCCTACATTGATGTTTTATTGAAGTCCTAAAGGTTGTAATAAAACTGCAATTCTTAATTAAGATAAAAACAAAGCTTTTGTCATTCGATTATGAACATAAATGGCATTTTATATGTAGAACTTCATGATAACAGAAGTAGACACGTGAACGATTAATGTGTCTCCTTAAAATCCCGCCGAACTCGTTAAAGTTATTCTAAAATTTCCACCCACTGCACCAGCTAATTTGGTTTTAATTCGCTCTATTCACTGTGCTGTCGCACTGATGGGACCTATATAAAGGTTACGATAAACAAGAGAGTTTGACGTAAGAAACAAACCAAAAGGACAGTCTATATAAATCTCACAATAACTGAGTATCCTTGCTAAATCTCCGCTCAGGTTTAAATCGGGGCGAAAGATAATTGCGGTATGTGTAAGCGAGATTTCGGTGTTCGTCAGGACGCCCAACAAACTACCCTTGTTGGCCTAATTAAAACGTAGCACTTTCCCAACCTTTTGTTGTGTTATTTATATTCACGATTATAGGCGGTTTGTTTGACGAGCCCTAGAACAACGCACGCGTCTACGTAAAGCAAACTACGTAACCACCAAGTGTTCGCGTGAGTTGTCAGGCAATAAACCTCTTTTCGATGCCTCACGCACATTGTCCAAAGGTCTTAGCACATCCACGACCGTGGAACATGCACTGCATATGAGATAATTATGAAACGTAATTCGTAACGATTGTGGGGTTACAGCTTTGAATTGTTCTTGATTTCTCAAGAAAAGCTTCTGGCCCGCTCGCTTTTCAAGGCGACTAACGAACACACGCGTGCTTGATTGTGGAAGTTGCACGCTGCTCAGTCGATTTGTAAACATTTGAATGGTTTATGCACTTGGCCATACATGAGGCAAGGATCTTAAGAGTTGAACGATCAATAAGCAAATACCCTAAACGACAAAGGTAAAAAAAATGTAAATATCCACAGCGACGATTCTGCGTTGAAGCATGTACAACGCTCCGTCATCGTAGTATAATATACAGGAACTCTTAAAAAGCTGCGATTTCTTTCTTAAATACATGTTCTATTCGTGAATTGTAGTGGGATTTTGTAGAAAAATATAGCTATTACATGACTGTAAGCAAATTTTGTGTCAATAGTCAAACCTTTGGGAGAAGAAAACATTGGTTGGGGTGCTTGAGAAAATTAGACTTCAGGGGACATCAATATTATACCAAGCATCGCAACGACTGGTCAGCCCCGATGTATGTCGCCTCGTATCAAAACCATTTTAAATTTTGCGTTTAACTTTTTGTGCGCGACACTTCGTGAGGAAAGTAACCGTTCAACCTTTTAAACAGGCGACCGTGTACTGGATAAGATTTGGGAGTACACCGACACTCAGATAATAATGAAACGTTCATGAGCGCACATGTAGCTCCTCCACGAGTAAATACCAGGGAGCCGCGCCTGGCTCACTTAGGTGACGCATAGCAAACCAGACTCAAATTATATCATGTTTCCGCTAATCCATTTAACTAAGATCTTAGTGACTGCTGGAGTCATGGACTGCTAGCCTCGTTTATGTGCATGCCCGCGGGATGGCGGTTTAAGAGGTATTAAGGAATTTTCGTAGATCGTTTTCACCGTCCCACAACGCCCTGCGCAACCCGCTACAATACATAGAACTCTACAGCCAAGGCCATCGGCGCACATGTGCGGTAGCGGCTTCTTCGTTGCGGTGGACTTAGCGGAGTGGGAAACGCGGTCTACGAAAACTCCCTATTAACTTATACCACGGTGAGTAAGCTTGCGAACTTCGCGAACTTTTGACTATCCTGTGACATTCGCCAGGACGTTGCCCTACAGAAGGATGCAGATACTCACGGAAGCGTCAGTCACGAGGCGGATGCGTATCCAAATGAAAAATGTCCTAGTTTCCAGGTGAGGCTAATTTCAGTCCTAATTTGAGGTTCGGTGCTGGTTCCCAGTCCGCTGTCATACTCGCGACTGCGCCATCGCGACACTCATCTAAGAAGGAACCAGCCGGCGCTGAGGCACGAAAGCATTGCGTCAATAAAAAATGAAATAAAATAAAAAATACTCTCAATAACAATGGTTCCACGTTTTTGCCATATCCCCACACGCCCTTCCAGTGGGAACAATTCGCTATGACGGATGCGAGCGTCAGGCGCTACGTAAGTGAAAACAGATGTCTCCGAAAGCGCGAAAGAAGCGTTCTGGGGCATTGTGGATTCGCGGAATAGAAAACTTTCCGTTACGTAAGGCGACAGCATTCGCTTGAAACGGGTACTTTTCCGCTGTTTGTGCATATCGGAATGCCAGAAACCGCCTGAGCATTGTTTTGCTCGACATTCGACGGCGCACAGGCGTGTAAGGGGGCAAAACACCAGGTTATTCGCCCGCCCGAACGATACTGACCCCCGGGTAAACGTTTCCACACCTCGTCAACTCGGGGAATTAACTATCTGCTTGTAAGGTCGGCACCCTCGTAAACAAGTCGTTGGCGCGAGATGTGCCGCAGGAAAGCGATCTAGCTGGTGCAACATTTCGGTGTTTCTTTTAACACTTCGGCAGAAGTCCTACGTGTACGGTCAACACCGCCTATACTTGTTGCCATATCAAGAAAAAGAAAGAAAAAAGGAAGTTTGGCGCATTATTTACGCGCGACGTGAAGTAGTTCTTACGAGATTTGGTTGCCGAAGGAAGGCACGATGTCTTTTCCGTTTGAAATGTGTGTCTTCAATAATTGACATAAAGCTTATATCTAGGTTGCACCTTCATTCAACGCATGAATGGAGAAATTGGTAACGTTCCGCAAAAAGACGGACTTTTTTTTTTTAGAGCGCAGCTCTTAGGCGTCCGTTTCCAGCTTGAGCGGCGTCGGCGTCAGCGTAACCGCGAGCCCCCCCTCCCCGAGAACCTTGGGAGGACACCCCCCCTCCCCGAGGTCACGTGACCCCCCCCCCCCCCCAGGTCACATGATC